ATTGATGATGATGCGAAGAGCAAGCTTTAGATTTTACAATGTATGATTGGGTTGCATGGTTGTCATTCTAGTTTTATGTATATGTATGTAGGTGCGCAAGGAGTCATGCTCTCGTAAGGAAAACGCGAGCAACATGAACTATGAAGGCCCTTTCCTCTCGCAACGGCGCAGGACTCGGACGAGTCCGAATCCCCAATCCAGCTCCAGTCGGCCACACCCACAAGACGTGAATGTGATGACTGTCCTCAGGGTCCGTTGGATGTCTATCTATCCTGTCCACGTGGACAGGATAGACGTGACTGGGACAGCTGGATTGTGTGGTTGCTCCTCCTGTTGTACTGTAGTCGTTGAGTCGGTTTAATTGAGCATCTGGGTGGCTCTGTGTTGATTGGACAGTTTGAGGAATCATTAATCCTCGAGCTGGTGTAGAATCGTTATGCTTCTGGTACTGGCGAGAGATGTGGGAGAATCACGAACGATGTTTGAGATTTGATTTTGCTGTTGGCGTGTTTTTCTCGGTTACGGATGAGTCAGCACTATCACCACGTGAAGATAAGCGATGCAATGCACGAGTATGCGTGAGCATTCATATTCATTAGAAACAGGATATGGTGAGATGTTTCTTGAATTTATCTTGGATGAGCATTCTGGGCTTTATTGGTCACAGTTTAGATTGTATGGTGAGAGAGTGAATGTATAGCTCACCACGCTGTATAGTCGATGATCTATGGGCATGGACGCATAGGACACAATAAGCCAAGAATATGTGGTCTCTACCAAGTAATCAATAGTAAAGTATGGAAGATACAATACTGGATAGTGTCTAGTTGGATAGATAAGGAAATACACGTAAAGAGGTAGCTACGTAAGTAGACCCTACGTCATCGCTCGTCCACCCCCACCAGATGTAGCAAACATCATCCGATGTCTGGGATTCTGAATCCAGGACTTCTACTTGATAATCGAGATCCCTGAAAAATTCCAGACTACTTATAAAATCAACTACAAACCCACAATCAATCATCGATAGCGACAGCCGCCTTGTGTAGCGCCCATACTGACGACCCGGCGCGAAACAGCATCACCATGCCCTTCTCCAAGCAGGCATCAAAGTTCAAACACCTCCCGCGGGCTGCGTCCGGGCCGCTAGAATGTCCATACAAGGCAAGAAACCCACAGCCCAGCATATGAAGATATTCCTCACTAACGGCACCAGGGCAAGAGCCTCACCACCTCGTCCCAATTCAACAAAGGATCCGCATTCTCCGAAGAAGAGCGAAAGACGTTTAACCTGCATGGCCTGTTACCACCCAACATCCAGACCCTGGACGAACAGGTACGCCGCGCGTACGAACAGTACAGCAGTCGGCCTGATGACCTCGCCAAAAACACCTTCATGGCCAGCATGAAGGCGCAGAGCGAAGTCTTGTACTACAAGGTAGTGTCTCTTACACAGTTCGACAGGCCAATGCTCACGACTGCAGTTGATCCAAACGCACCTCAAAGAAATGTTCAGCGTCATCTACACGCCGACAGAAGGGGATGCGATCCAGAACTATTCGCGCTTGTTTCGCAGACCCGAGGGCTGCTTTCTCGCTATCAATGACCAGGATCGCATCGAGGAAAGCCTGTCCAACTTCGGGGGCGGAGAGGACATCGATTACATTGTCGTGAGCGACGGCGAAGAGGTTTGTTTGTGACTCCTTGCAGAGTTGGGATGGGGCTTATGATTTTCTAGATTCTGGGAATCGGCGACCAGGGTGTAGGAGCTATTCTGATATCCGTCGCTAAATTGGTCCTCTCCACGCTCTGTGCGGGAATACACCCATCGCGACAACTTCCCGTCGTTCTGGACTGTGGAACAGATGTATGCGGTTTAAACCCATGTCATACTGGCTGTTCGGCACTGACATATGTAGAACGAAAGCTTGCTCAACGACGAGCTGTACTTGGGTCTTCGCCAGCCACGCGCCCGGGGCAAGGACTATGACCAATTTGTGGAGAAATTCGTCACTGCCGCTAGAAAGATGTACCCTCGGGCGTATATTCATTTGTAAGTCATCTGTATCGGTGTTTGTTCCGGCAATCGCTCATAAGATCAGCGAGGACTTCGGTCTCCAGAATGCCAAAAGGATCCTGGAGAAGTATCGACCGCATGTCCCGTGCTTCAACGACGATATCCAAGGCACCGGGTGTGTGACTCTGGCGGCGCTGATGTCTGCCTTCCATGTCAGCGGCACCAAGATGGAAGAAGCGCGCATTGTGATTTTTGGCGCAGGCTCCGCAGGGACTGGCATCGCGGCGCAGATTGCCGACGCCATTGCGATGGAGACACACAAATCCAAGGCCGAAGCATCCAAACAGATATGGTAAGCGCCTAGGCTAATTTCCACATTCGCGTCTGACACGAGCAATAATCAGGTGTTTGGATAAGCCCGGCCTCCTGTTCAAGTCTTTAGGCGACAAGTTGACCGCCGCGCAAGTCCCCTTCGCACGCGACGACGACGAGTGGCCCAAAGACAAGGGCAGCGATATGCTTACGGTGGTGCAGGAGGTGAAACCGCATGTGCTGATTGGCACGTCCACCAAGCCCAAAGCCTTCACAGAAGAGATTATCCGGGAGATGGCGAAGCACGTCGCCCAGCCCATCGTGTTTCCGCTTAGCAATCCCACCCGGCTGCACGAAGCGTGCCCGGAAGATATCAATCGCTGGACAGATGGCCGGGCGCTGATGGCGACAGGGAGTCCGTTCCCGCCTGTTGAGCGCAACGGGGCCAAATATGAGATCGGTAAGACCCCCTTCGCCAAGCAATGCTGCGCCTTGACTGACGCCTGATTGATTTGCGTCTAGCGGAATGCAATAATTCCACTTGTTTCCCAGGCATCGGGCTCGGCGCCGTCTTGTCCCGAACACGAGTCGTGTCCGACAAGATGCTGGTAGCGGCGGTCAAAGCACTCGCTGCGCGGTCGCCAGCGCTGCAGGATCCGAATCAGCCTCTCTTGCCGGATGTGGAGGATGTGCGCGAGATCAGTGTGGATATTGCGCGGGCTGTGATTGCGACTGCGGTCGAGGAGGGCCATGCGCAGGAAGAGGGGATTCCCAGCGATGCAGAGGAACTGGAGGAATGGATTCGCGTACAGATGTGGGAGCCGACATATAGACCGCTGGTTCCGTGTTAGTGACCTTAAGGAGCGTAGGTTTCTAATGGAGGGATGTTGATATTTCTATAGTATGTAGTAGTATAGAGACTGGGATAAATGTTACACAAGCCAGACCCTGCATACCGTTGAATTCCAACTGAACGGGCATGCAGGGTCGGTGGAGATACTACCATGAACAGAGATCTTCTCGAATCCTTCGCACAGCCTGAACCTAGTAGATAACTAATGGTAATATGCTGGTAGTGTATGGATGATGTCAGGTGGCGATGTACTACTGCGCCCCAGGTCCGAGTGGAGCAAGGATGATGTCCACCTCAAGACCCTGAAGACCCTTCTTTTCTTCCAATCCTTTGTCCCCAAGGCGAATTCAACCACTCCTTCCTGCTTTCTTTCAATACGCTCCACGCTCTCTATTTAAATCTCATTATTCTCGATCGCTCCACAACATCTATAACATCTGTCTCATCGCTCTTTATCCCTCGGAGATATCACTAGACTGCTTCTCATCTTCTAGACTACCGCTTTTTTCCGGTGTTACATCACTCACATCTGGGAATTTTCATCAGTCGACACAATGAAGATCACGTCAACGACGGCTTTACTTCTCCTTCTCTCTACGGCTGTCACATCTCTCAGTGTCCCTCGTTCCGACCTCACCCTCCGCGATGACCTCTCTCACGTGAATGACCTCGAAAAGCGCCGTGGAGGTGGCGGACGAGGAGGAGGCGGTGGTGGTAGTAGTAGTAGTGGAGGCGGAAGTGGAGGGCGCACTGGCAGCGGTGGTAGCTCGGGGTAAGGTCCACCGTATACATACATCTCTCTACGACTTTACTAATGCTTTCCAGCTCTTCCAGCTCTTCCAGCAACAGAGGAGGCACCTCGCGCAGTGGTTCAGGCCGACAGCCAACGTACGCGGGCGGGACGTCCTACGCGGGGGGCGCTGCTGCCCCCTACGCTGCGGGCGGCCGGTCGCCAAGAGGAATTTTCCCTTTTCTCCTGCCCATCGGTGCGCTGGCTTTCTTCCCGGGGATCTGGCTGTACGGGGCCTACGCATACCCCTACAGCCACCACTACAACTATACGAACGACACATCGAAGCAAAACGAGTCGCTGCCGGTGGTCTGTCTTTGCCAGGAGTATTCCGAGTGCGGATGCGACGACAACAACAACGGCACCTTCTACCGGGATCTTTTCAATGGCACCGTGCCCAAGAACTCGAGCGATGTCCGGGTTGTCAATGTCAATGGCACCGAGACTATCTACATCAACGGGACCTTGCCGAATGGGACGACTCTGCAGGATCCAAATGCGTCGTCTGCCTCCAATCACGCGGCTGAAGCGGCTGGATATTGGATGATGGTGGCCGTGGTGGTTGGTACCGTGTGGGGGCTGTAGAGTCTAGACGATGCGGCTTTGTCTTCCATCCAACCCCTATTCGCATCCGGCCGATACGAACCAGCGAACAGAATGGGGTTATAGATTCTCGCGTTGCTTTTCTCTTGTTGCTTGGGCGGTTTTCTACTACTACGAATGATACCCTATGGCGTTGGACTTGTTGAGTTGTTGACTTTCGTTCGACGCGTCCTCTGAATGATGGTTAGCTTGATATCGATAGCTTATAAGATAGGCATATGACGATCGATGCTTCAGCATGCCTCGTATGATCTGTAGGATGCGTAGGACTATTGATTGGAACAGAGTTCTTGGGTAATTAGGATGGAGAAGTCTCGTAATATGCTCGTTATTAATCCGAGTTGGCGAAATTACTCTCTCCACCGCATTTCCCCATTCGGCCTAACCCGCTCCGTCGCTTTCTTCCCTCCTGAATCCGCCAGCGTTTGACGTTCGACCTCTCTTCATCCCAAGCTCTCCTTCGTATGGACTGCGTCGGTCCTATGCTGTCGCTGATCTCAAGGATGATGTCCTCCATATTATCACCACAAGACTAAGGTAGATACAGAGTCCTCAAGACCCCTGAAGAGTCTACCGGCCCATGGTTCGAACACGAACTAACGCTCTAGCCAGGAACCGCACCATCATCTCCTCCGATGGGGCACGTCTCGGCCAAGCACACTGTCTGGGGATCGACATGCTGCAATCTGACTGACTCTCCGAATCTAATGTGCTAGTCACTTAGTTTTGCGCTACGAGCACCGGTCCGTTAGCCATGTATGGCACTGATTGGCCTCCATCCAAGGTCCGGCCGCCGTCCGACTCTTTGTCGCAGATTGTCTGGCCCTGTTGGCGCCCGCCGCAACATAGCCCTAAGCCCCTTTTCCCGGCCTATATTCTTAACGCCCGCCCATCCTTCATCTCCTGGTTTCATCACAAGCAGTGCTGTCGTTCGTTCTACCGTTCTCTTTCTTCCCACAAGAGCTGTCACTCGTTCCAGCTCCATTCATTCTTTATTTACTCCTCTTCTGGAAGACTACGAGAACTGCCACACGCGTCAGATTTCCAGCAAATCTCGCAAACCGCAATCAAAACAAACAAACCATCGCACCAACTTGCACCACCCCAGTCACAATGCTGTTCAACAAGGCCCTTCTCATCGCCTCGGCTGCTCTCGCGCCGTTCGCCCTCGCCGCGGAGGCTCCCACGTCCACCCTGACGGTGCAGATTGTCAGCGTGCCCTCCACCACTGCCACGCCCTCCACCACTGCTGTCTCGGTCCCCTCCTTCACGCCGCCCCCGACCCCGACGCCGTCCAGCTCTTCGCTCATCCGCGTCCCCACCAGCTCGGCCATTCCCAGCGTGTCCTCCGCCGTGGCTCCTGCGGCCACCCCGGCGTTTACCGGCGCTGCGCCCGCGCTGAAGATGCAGGGCGCCGTGCCTGCTGGTCTCCTCGCTGCGGCTGGTCTGTTCCTGCTCTAGGCGCGCATCCGCCCGGATAGGTAGTTCCTCGAGATCGCACGAGGGCAGCCAATGTCACCAATTCAGACCGCAGAGTGCACATGCACCCCCTAGAAACAAAATTGAATCCAACTACTCTCTACGGATCTAGCTGATCTCTTTCTTTCTTTGTATGTTTTGTCCAGCGGGTACCGTTTGGCTCACGGATTACGGGATTGCGATTGGGCTGTTTGATATGTTCACATTGGCTTGTTTATGATTCTTCGCTTCGGATATCTGTTGATATTCTTTACATCAGTTGATGTTTATACCCTTTCTTGTATGCTTTAGCTTAACGTTCTTCTAGCCCAATCGTTTCCTATCAGATGTTCGAAGGTAGTGTAGATGTGAAGTGAGATATGAGCAATAATGAATGTGGGCCCTTGTTATTATAGTATTGGACTACCTGTCATCGTAGTTGGTATGTTCTCTTCCTCGAGTAATATCAGCTTCAGTTTTGATATGCCGTTGGGCCTTATAAATTGTATAGAAGCTTGTCATTACAACCTTTGCTTAGGCTTTGGCTGTGTCTTATATCTACTAGATAGACTGCACTCTTCATCCTTACCTTTTGTACTATCGAGCAAAGTCAGACAGGTTTAGACAGCCTCCTATCAGCCCCGCCACGCAGCATTAGATGTGCAGGACAGGGACTGTGGAAGCCTTCAATGCCCAGAATATGTGTGGAGGGCGATAGTCAGATAGAATGATTGACTATAGAAGGGGTCTTCCAAGCGTGAAAAGAACAACCATAGGACGGAGCACGGTAGGCTTCAAGGAGTTCATCATGGCCTCTGTGGATGAGACTCATACAGAGTATATATGTACCTATAAAAATCGGAGACATATCAATGTAAATATTTCTAGTGGGGAGATCTTAGCTACCATCTTCTCCTGATATCTACAAACCAAGCGTCATATAACTGAACTGCAATCTTAATCTGATTGACAGACATATTCAATACCCTTTCTTTGAAATGGACCTCTTCTTCTGGTATGTACACCATACAACATCAATAGAGGAGATATCGAAAAGCGGGCCACCATTGATTCAATCCGGCAGTGCTTATGTACTTTCGCACATTTCTATCATAGCGTGGTGGAACTCTGCAAGTCATACAACAAGTTTTATGCGAACGTTCCCATCTGTACTAATCAGAGTCAGGTTCATATTCTTTCGAATTCCGTTGTGGTGATGCGTCACCAGATGGTGCAGGCGACTGGTTGCATTTCGCTCTTCGGTGTTTTCCCAGCTTTCTGCGTATACGGGCCTTGGGCATTGGGATGGTAGATTTTTGCTTCATTTGCAGCTGCATGAGTAACTGGTTCAGTAGATAGGGTACATCATGTTATAGATCTTGATTGATCGAAAGATTGACAACAGATAGCTTAACTGAATACCACTGGGGTTGCATTGGGTATATTCCCCGCATCGGGCCAATAGAATGCGACCTGTTTCAGACGTTGTATTTACGGGTAGTTGGCTTCATGCTGTGACATCTTTTCTCGTACGCACACTGCTCAGCTCTACTCATAATGTTGTGGCTGGTAGTGACATGCCTTGCTCAGGACAAGCGAAGGCAGATCTAAACCATATAAATTAGCTTGTGTATACCACTGTCTGCGTACGAGAAACTCCCACATATCATTCGCAATACACAACACCGAAGTGATCAGTTCTCGCTTCCATCCTCAGACATCGCACTCGATTACGTTGCGTCTGCATTGCGACTTCATATCCTGTCAGTCAGCGAGGCCCCACCGAGACAGGTACGCACTGGGTATTGATATACTCTCCACGGAGTAGAGTAGGAGTAGTATAGTACTTCAACGTAAGATCATAAGTAAGTCTGTGCTGCCTTTCACGAGGTAAGTCAATACGTAGTCAATATACAGGGTATGTGGCGAACCCCACAACCCTTCTCCGTAAACTCCGCAGTAACACCCCGGAAAACCAGACCAGACCGCGCAAGCTACCTACCTGGATACGAGGCAGCCGCCGGTACCGAAGGAAGCAAATCCAGGACAGCAGCTTCACTCCCCGGAAGGCAACTCAGTCGAGACGGCCTTCTCCACCAACAGTCCCGGAGCTAGATCAGATGACCTCTCAGCCCGGCACGGGGGAAAGGAAAGGAAAGAGACCCCCGGCTCGGCTACGGCATCCATTCCCCTCCCGGCTGATTGGATCGGGGGTGTACTCCGTGGCCGACCCCGTGGGTAAAGTCAGACAACACGGAGTACTCCGCGGGTTCTGTTGCCGTTGTCTGGCTGTCCGAGAGACCATGCCTACTCCGTAGTCCACATGGTAGCCCCCACAGATTTAATCTCCGAGAGACAGAGCCGGAAACGGACAAGACAGGTAATGTTGGTCTCATTCCTGTCTATTTTGCCGAGGCGGGATTGTCTGTCTGGGTCGGGGTGTTGATCGGAATGAAGCGTGCTTCTCATCAGAGATTACGCATTGTCGGGATCGTCGTATACACTCCTGGCGGCTGTTATGGCCCTCCCGATTCAGCAACTATGGCGAGTCTACTCGTGTTTAGATGTGGTCTGTTCAGATGGTCTGTTCTTCGATCTGACAAGATTGACACCTGTCTACAAGAGAAAAAATGATGTGAACTCTATCATTGGTATCCAAGCTGCACATCACACTAAAGATGACAATGAGCAACAGCGTCACCCAGTCTATATAAAAATGTAAAGGAAAGAGAAAAGGAAAAATAAGGATCATAAAGCAAATCTCGCAATCCTTATGCCGCGTCCTGTTCCGTCTCCAGGATGGAAGCAACGGCTGACTCGTACACGGCGCATGTTTTGGTATATAACATCAAACAAGTTGGGGTATGGGTATGAGGTATCACAATCAGCATCACTTAAGAAGCCATCTGCTTCTCCTGGCTGTCGCCGCTGCTGAGGGCGAGCTCCACCTTCTCCGCATCGGCGGTGGTGGACTGGGCCGACACATCCAGGCCCAGATCGGCGGACATCTCCGCGATCTGGTCGACGGTGAGCTTGGGCAGCTCGTTGGCGATCTGGTAGGGCCACTTGCGGTCGACGTGGGCCTTGGCGAAGATGATGTCGATCTCCTCGAGGTCGCGGCCAGCGGTCTCGGCGTAGAAGAACCAGGCGAACGGCACGGCGACGAAGTTGACCAGCGCGAAGAACAGGTAGATACCCCAGCCGCTGGTGTCGGAGAAGACGGGAGTGAACATGACGACGGCGAAGTTGCAGATCCAGTTGGTGCAGGTGGACGCCGCGGCGGCCATGGTACGCGTACGGAGAGGGTTGATCTCGGGCGGGTAGATCCAGGGGAGGGGGAGCGTGGTAAAGGCGAAGAAGACGATGAACAGGAAGATACCCACAATGGCACCCTTGGAGTTCTCCTCCGTGGGCTTGATCAGACAGCCCATGGTGATGATGAAGGACAGACCCTGGCCCATGAAACCGATGAGGAACAGCTTGCGCCGACCGACCTTCTCGATCATGAAGAACGAGGGGATGGTCGCGAGGGCGTAGACAGTGGCGAAGACACCGCCCAGAATGAGGGAGAGACGGTGCTTCATGTTCAGGTTCTGCTCGAACAGGAGGGTGGAGTAGTAGATAGCAGCGTTGCAACCAGTGAACTGCTGGAAGAACTGGCCGGAGCAACCGATCATCATACGCTGGAACTCCTGGGTCTTGCCGAACGTGAAGAGGGTCTTCCAGTCGGCCTGGGCGCCCTGGGAGGCCTTGAGATCGGCCTTCATGAGGTTGAAGTCGGTGAGCACCGAGTCGGAGTCAATGGGGGCGTCGTTGAGCGCGGCCAGCACCTGGCGGGCCTCCTCATCGCGACCCTTCATAACAAACCAACGGGGGGACTCGGGGAGCATAAGTGCACCCATGGTGACAAAGATAGCAAAGACAATCTGGAAGGCGACGGGGAAGCGCCACTGCACCGAGCTGTCGACGTAGGAGAGACCAAAGTCGATCCAGTAGGCGACAAAGGTACCGACGGCGATGATGGCACCCTCGAAGCAGACGAGGAATCCACGGTTGTGGGCGCGCGAACACTCGGACTGCCAGACGGGGATAGTCGCGGTGTCCATACCGTTACCCAAACCGGAGATGACACGACCGACGACGAACTGACCCAGACCCCAGTGAGGGCCAAAGGCGGCGGTGGAGATGACGGTACCCAGGATCATGATGAGACCACCGGCGACGAGGAGAGGCGTACGACCGATGCGCTCACCGAAGACGAGGGTGAAGATGGCACCGAAGAAACAACCCAGTTCGTAGCAGGCGGTGACGGCACCACGCAGGACGGAGACGTGAGCCGAGTAGGAGGCAGAGGCATCGCTGGGAATAGCGAGCGGGGGGAACTCCTGGGTGAACTGGTCACCGGAGATGATACCAGACATGAGACCCTGATCATAACCGAAGAGCGAGAAACCGATGACGGAGGTGAAGGTGATGGCCAGACGGAGCTTACGGCCCCGCAAGCCGGAGGTGGTCGTCCACATGTTGAGAGATTAGAATGGACTGTTCATGTACCTTGTCAATATAGATCGATGGGTCTATATGGGTAAGGAACGGACGGTATGACCAGGGAGAAAGATGAGAAGAGTCCGATTCGACCGACTCCAGGACGAGGGGGGGAGCGGCAGCTTTTGTATTCGGCGCATCTCATGTGTTGATGCCAAGCAGGGGACGAAAAGTTTGCAGACGGACAATATTACAATATTAATCTTCAATAATGGTCGGGAAGGGCATGTTGGGCGAGCCAAGCGGCCAATGAGCGGCCAAGACAAAGCTTAGGCGGGAGCAGCGCCACCGACGTAAGCGGCCAAAGCGGTAGGATAGCCGAGTGGATCCCCCACCCAGCGAACACTTTTTTACATAGAGAGGGCTTACTCCGTACGGAGTACTATCCCAGTTCTCCTGGGGACCCCATGTTCCTGTGTGCCTCGTGACTTCCCCTCAATCTGAGGGCTTGATGATTCCGGGTGAGCATGCGGGGAGATGGAGTCGAACTTCTTTCTCGAAAACGTTGTCTGCTCCCTCGGATACGCATGCGGTCCTCCAGCAGGAGAATCATCCTCATCGGAATATTCCCATGTTAATCACCATTTAGCAACGAAAATAAAACCAAATCAGAACCAAATAATAATAAAACAAAAGAAAAAATAATAATACGCTGTAATAAGTCGGAGGAGACCGGGCCCCATGTGGTACCGGCTCGCTTGTCGTTGGTCCCCAGGTGGCCCCCAGCTGGGTCCCTCTCCAGACCGGCCAAAACCCCTGGGATGCCCGGTGGATTCTCCTCCGTAAGCGGGTGGAGGATCTGCCACCCTCCTGCTCCATCCGGTATCTTATCCTCTGGCGGTGATTGTCGGGAAGATTTTTCCTCGCGTAAGTCTCTTATTCGTGTATCCACGTTTTGTTCGTTGCCTCAATGACGGATGCCGAGATTAAGATTAGGTATACAGGAATCGATAGACGGATACCCTCGGGAGCCGTAGCGACACAACAATGACGGGAGTGCCGTCCGGATACTTACTTTAAACAAGCCACAATCCTCCCGACCCGAACAGGAACATACTTCGGAGTCCTCTGGAAGATACCGAGGTAGGCGCATCGTCATCAGAAGGTCAAATCCTTCCGCATCCGGGATCTCGCGATACCTGCGACGCTGTGATCCTTTACTACCCTACCCTACCCTAACGGACTACCTAACTCATCACCTAAGTAAGCCTAGGGTAAGCTCTCTTGGCCGCTCGCCAATCCGCGACAAGCCCTAACAAGCCCTCTTCGCCCCCTCTTGGCTTGATTCCAAGCTCATTCGCCAACACCGCTTGACGCGGGTGGAGCGGGTGGAGCACGGTTGCACTTAGCGTGGCGGGCAGAAAAACTCTACTCCCGTCCCTCGTCTGTGCCTACCTGTAGTTGCGCGGTAGAGGTTAAAGATTCTACCACCACACCGCGTTTCCAGTGGGCCGTCCATCCACTCTTACGTAGGTCAAGACTCGTTCCGCGAGCCCTACCGTCGTATGTACGGAGTAGTCTATGGATCGGGAAATTGCTGCCTGTCTCGGAGGATATCCATTAGGTAGCGAGTCTTATTAGACCCAGTCTACCAGTGCAACCAAGTGCAACCAGAGGACATCTTGCGATGCGCCAAGAGTATCGGCCGTCCAAATGTCCGAAAGATGCCCGTGCTCGGGAAGTAGAACCTAGGCAGGTCCGAGACATGTGTCAATCAATGACCAGTGCTGTCTGCTTCTTTCTTCAAGGTCGCTATAAGATTTCACCGTACTCTATATCGCTGCATGTCTCGAGCGTTTGCATATGCCAGACGTCAGACCCACCTGTAGATGATCAAAGTGAACCTTGCATACTCATCAAGTAGGAGGTGATCAGTGAATAACCTACGTAAGGACAATGCAAGGCTTAACCTTCTCAACGGCCATGGCAAACTCTCATATCATGACTCGTCCATGACATGGAAGCAGATATATTTGACTTTACATTACGTTTTCTCGATATACACCTACGTCGAGATATAGTTCCTGGATGTTCTATTGTCTCATATAATCATGTCACTTTGGATAGTCTACCTTTACTTCAGTATCCCTTGCTTCAGAAGATCATCCGCCACATGGCTACCTGAAACGAATGCAGATCAACCCTATTGTCTACAATTTAGGTACTATGCAGGACTAGAGCTCCTCGCGTCACCTTCATCTGTCCATACGGAGTACAAAAGTGGTGACCCACATCAACGAATGATGTCCCATTTACAAGATTACTCTATTAAACAAGGCATGTCACAAGACATACCTATGTGACTGGTCTCGCATCAACAATCATAAGGTTCATCCCGAGATGCACGGGCGGTTTATAGATGATATCAGGTGTCAAGCCGAGGCTCGAACTAGACACTGCGATTGATTTCAGCAAAGTCAGCCATGACCTTCAAATCATATCCAGCTTATAGGAGCTGTTGAGTATAACAATCTGAAATAATGCCATGTGATCCAATGTAATGTTATCTAACTGTCGTGTTGTTGAACTCTAATATCTAGAATATCATGTTGAATCACACAATAGGAGAGGCAACATGGCCGAGCGGTCTGAGGTAAGGCTGGATTCGTACGACCTAGTACCAATCAAACAACATACTATGGAGTACAGCCTCACAGAGAGTCTTCGGTTAAATGTCTTCCAGTACGCGTAAGCTCTTGTCACTACTTTTTCTTTTGGGGGATTTAAGTCCACCACCAAGAATATCTTTGATTCTCACTATCGACTACCGTTACTATCTCTACCCCCTAGAAACATCTCACTATCCAAAGCCGAGCGATGCAGCTAGAATCCAACTAAACACCCATTAGCTAACCATACACACTAATACCCATCTGAGAAACTTACTGTTGCAGACATCATTCTCACCGTCCCCACCAGACTCATGACAGCCCTGCCAGCAGTACTCCATAAATTCAATCTCGCTTCTTCTGTTGCAGAGAAACAGCGAGTCTCTCCAGTTGTTGTGCGGCGGCGGGTACGGCTTCACATTCGGACCGTGGACGGCCTTCTGGAGGTCCGCCACGGAATACCCTGCTATTCATCAGAGAAATGCTCTACCTCCACTGTCACTGCAGCCGCACGTACCGTCTTTGTCGATGAGCCAGCTGCCGCAGTAGCGCTGGCCGGCATGGCAGGTCCCAAGGCCGAGGGCGCTGGGGACCAGGGCGAGCAGGCCAAGGACGGCGGTGGTCTTCATTTTGTTCGCTGTTGGTGGAGAAAAAGAAGCTTGAGATGGGTTGGTTTTGCTTGATTGAGTGTTGTTGATGTCTGTTCGGTGATTGAGAGGCGAACGGCCGTCCTTTTATACCTTGTCGACGCTTGCCTACGGCGCTTTGAACGCGTGTCTTGGACACCTTCGCCACCGGCGACCTGCGAGCTGTGTGATCTCAGTGCATAGAGCTGAATGTTCGGCTTGTTTGTGATGTTGCAGTGCAGACGATCTGCACCAGGCGCACTGGATGCGGTCCTCTTGTGTACAGGCAGCCACGTCGATGAGCGTCATGTCCTGAGGAGGGATTGAGGGATAGAGCGAGGGTACAATGTTGAAGTCCTGTTGTTGTCTGTTCGATCGTCCAACAAGCCGTGTGATCTGTTTCCATTACGTGTGCCAGGAAGCAAGACTTGGTGAGGAAGTCATGTTCTGTACCTATAGTCCGAGGAACGCCGATAGACTGATGACACAGTCGGCCTGTCCGAGTACCATTCCCAGGAACGAAAAGCAATATAAGGTACCTTTGATAGCAAACAAGCATATGGAAGCACCCCGCAAACAGCCAGCTACGCCGCAGCCGCAGCCGCAAACCATCGAGTTACTCGATAGGAATATCAAACCTACTTTGCACTTGCATGAACATGATCCGCACGGTTGCATGAGCTGAGAACAGTGCGGAGTGGCTGGCGTGGAATGAATATGCCTCATACAACATTAGTCAAAGACTCCTCTTAATGCATATGCTGTGCAACTCCTCAGCTCCCACGTATCCAGTGGAATCGCCACTCAACCAGCAGCCGTGTGATAGTGCCTGTCTACCGTACATTGGAGTACGTCATTGCTATTGAATGGGCTATATTGACTACAGAGTAGAGTGCTGGCACTAAACACACTCCTGCCTACAATAATTGAATAGATAATGTACAGATAAAGTCCAAACATAGGTGAAATATGCAACTCTACTCCTTGAACGTTGCCTCGTACCTAGATCAAGTTAGCAAGCAGCTAAGAGATAAGCTAATGCACGACAACGTACCTCTTTCCGCGGAATGCCCAGATCCCCCAGTTACCACAGGAAACATCATGAGGGTCGAGATCGTTCAGGTCCCAACGGAGACTGCGGAAGATATTCTCGCCCGGCTCGAGCAGAATATCAAATTCCCCCGCGCACTTCTCCCGCACCCAGTTGATGTCCCGTTCCATGTCCCATTGAGTGTAGCCAGTCGTGATGATCGGCACCTTGGTCTCCAGAAGCTGCGGAAGGGTCTCCTCCCACTCGTGGGAACTGGCCGGATGTCCGAGACCAGGGTGGAAGAGCATGAAGCAGTCCAGGTACGGATCGAACGGCTGGAAGTACTGCGCCTTGTACATGGTGTGGAAGTAATCAACGTAGGTCGTGATCTTCATCTGTCCGCCCAGGCGATCCTCGACGATCCCCCCGAAGGGATTCTCCGGGGTGCGCTCCGGGAGCGGGAATTCCGCATCCCGGTTGGCCATACTCTCGGGCCCGATGAAGATCAGATGAATGAGGGATCGCGGGAAGATGTAGCTGAGCTGGAGCCAGACGTCACGGGGCAGTGATGACTCGGCACGCGCGCCCAAGATGAAAATGCGGACCGGGGGAGCCTTCAAGCGCAGGCCTTCAATATCGACGCCTTCGCCGGTCTTGGGGGGGTGCAGGGTATACCGAAGCGCTGGGAACATTAGCTAACACTGACACTAACGACACTAACGATAGAACTCACCGCTGACACTCTTCAATCCCTCGGTCGTAAGACGCCCGTTTTTCCGAACGCTATACGGACTCAGCTCATGCAGGACGCTCCCAATAGTCATGGGATACGTCAGCATACGCGTCACCTGTCTCATGCTACGATCATCGTTGATCGCGTCAAACTCGCGGGTATAGAGAAACGTATCCCAGTTCGTCATGTTGATGACAAAGTTATCATCCTGCAGACCGGGATAGTTGAACTCGGGGAAAAACCGTCCCGAGTGCAGGTCATGGTCGTCCTCGTTGATCTGGCGGATCGTCTCGCAGATCTCCAGATGCGCCTCAAAGTCATCCATCCAGTGTCCCTCCGAGCAGTAGATCGGCACGCCGCAGTCGGGGCACTCGAAATGCGAATGGGCAGGCGGCAGGCTCGCGTCTTGTGCGCTCTTCCGCGACTCCGGATCGTGGGGCGAGACGGGCGCACGCGTCTGCTGATGGCTGGGGTGCGGGCAGAACGCATTCTGCTTGATGAACGCAGCGCGCTGGCGGATCGCGGGGGCCGGCGACTCGGAGAAGGGGTGGAAGAGGTTGTTGCGTTTCAGCAGAACCCGGGCGTCCGGAGCCGGGCTCGATGTCGCAGACGTGGCCTTCTGGATGAGAGGCTGTACCGGCCGAGTCGTACCAGAGGGCGTCACCGCTGATGATGGGGTAGATGTCCGCTTGATCTGGCCTTGGAGGTTCTTCGAGGGGAGGCATCTTTCGCTGTGCGAGCTGAAGCTTCGCATGAACGCCGCAGGACGGCCGACGGTCAGTCTCGAATTGGCGACATTCTGCAGGCGGATTGTGGAGTTATGGGTGGTAATCCGGCGCTGAAGCACCTGCAGGCAACGCCCACAAGTATACTCGCCTCTCATCTTGACGGTTTGGGCGAAGCTGGGGATGCACACTGGGACCGGTAAAGCTGCGGAAGGTCGTCTCTTTTTTCGACGATCCCGCGGCACGTGATCCGGTCTTGGTGGTTTACTCTTTTCCATACTGTGACTACATCCACTACTGAGGAAATGAGGAAGTATATAATCTTCTGAGCATTCACGATAAGAATGAAACAGTCCATGTGGCTTGTAGAATAAGGCAAAACGCATCCAATCTGGCCACCATCAATGAAGCCAGACAATCTATCGCTGTGGCATCACACAACACTCTCTAAAAAATATCTTCAGAAGCACTCCAGTCTTGCTTCTCACGACTCTCCCAATACTTTCCGTTGTGTGCCCAATACTCTTCGCCAGTAATTGGACACTTGGCCCGGACAAACCATTGAGGATGGTACTCCTCGCCCTTGGCTTCTCGCTCACGACGCTTGGCTCGCTGTTTCTCCTCCACCCGGTGTTTTTCCGTGGCAGCGAGGTCATATTCACCCTCTTCCATCGCACGTTGATCAGGCCGGAGTCGGGTGTCCGTAGGAGGCAGATACGGCTTCAGGTTATCCGGGAGCGCATTCAATGTGATGACGAAGGGAGTCAGGTTGAAGGGCACGCCGCTGGGCCGGGGATGGCTTTGCCAGACCAGGAACGTCTTGGCTGACTCGGGATCCTGGCCAGACACTTGCGCTTCAAAACCGGGTGTATGGCGGGCATAGATCTTGTCATTCCAACGCCCACCCATGCTCCATTTTGGCGATCCGTCGCGGTCCACAACCTTACCGGTCACCTGATACGCAGAAGAAGCCTTCCAGCCTCGGGGCTTGAAGTCCAGATAGCAGACCTCGCCGGTGGTCCAATTCTTGATTTCCATCAGGCCGTAGTTGTCCACTGTGGGGTTTCCAGTGATGATACCAATGACAGACGACGTGACTTTCTTCCAAGTGTACAGTTCCTCACCCCCAGAAGTAGGTCGCAGCTTCAGGAACCACGTTCCGAGAAGGTTGATATCGAACGATTTACCGTAGAACTTGGATTTCAGAGCGGACTCACCCTAGAGAATATTGTTAGCCAAAAACAAAAACCCTAAGTCCAGACAAGCTTACCCAGTAATCCCACTTGGGTGATTCAGCCCATGCTGCACCAATCGGCGGGTGATGGCTGACTTGCTCGATGAAGAAGCGATAACCCTTGTCAGGTCGGGCATACTCGAAGGTTTCGCCCAGAAGGGGGTTGAAAGGCTTCGCCACACGTCCAATCGTGGAGGCATACTCACTAGCTGCGTATGCAGCAACGTACACGAGACGCTCCATAGAATCGGTACGATCAGCGGCGATGTCGAGAAGGTCCGCGTATTCCAAGTCCTCTGCCACACGTTGAAGCAGGGAAGTCGGCTCATTAAACGAGACAGGCAGAGTCATCTTGGTCATATCCTTGCCGATCATAGATTTCAAGATGCCCTAGTACAATCCGTAAGCAAGAAGTCGCGAACCAGGATGTTCAAAGCACCACATACCCATAGTGAGATCTTCGGCCGATTATCGTAGTCCATTTTGAGTCTCTCTCTGACAGGATCTTCGTATCCCTTGAACGATGGGGCTATTTCAGAGCGTTTGACAACACGCAGTTCACTGCCCTCTTCCTCCGGAGCTTCCTCCTCGGCATGAGCTTCTTTGCTGGCAAGAGTCTCCGCGTGAATCTCGCCAGAATCAATCGCGTCAAAGAACTCATCGTCTTCATCGGACTCCGAATCATACAGACTGCTGATCTGCGACAGAGTCGACTTCTTTCGTTGAAGCGGCCGGATGTTCTCTTCATCCGCACGTTGTTGGGTATCGGTCGACGCATCTGGGATCTTCGGTGTCTCCTCTGCCTCTGCCTCGCCCGTCTCTTCACCGGGTACATGCACCCGGGATGGGGCCGTGCTGATAGGGGCAGAAGCATTCGCGGACGAGTTCTCCAAAGCTTCTTTGAGGGCCCGCTTTGTACGACGGCGCTTTTCTTCAGACTCGCCCATCTTGGATTGCAGCTCTTCGTGTTCCTGGGCAACCCGAGCCATGCTTTCCTCCCACATCTTGCGGAGGAAGGCCTCTCTGTTCAGCCGGTACTGCCAGTAGGAATCGCGGTCCCGCGAAATCTTGAGGAGATTTTGCACGAGACCCTTCAGGCTACTGACGGCGGCCTCATAAGCAGCCAACGCTTGGTCGACAGCGGGCTCGGAGAGAGAGGTGCTTGGATCTTTCGATTTCTCAGCCTGAAGAGAGGCAGCAACGCTGGAGAGTATATCAAGTTGAAGTTTGGCGGATTGGGCGGTGATGTTGAGGGCATCCTTATCGGCCGGTGGCACGTCACGGCTAGAGGCATCATCACCGTAGTCTTCGTCGTCGCCCTCAAAGTCAGGCGCCGTAGTGACATGACTGGGCACGCGGTTCACTTCATTTGATGGAGGGCCTTGATCATAAGGTCCAAACGAACCTTCCTCATCATCTGCAGTACCACTTTCCAAGGTAGTACGAGACGTATACGTACTAAGCCGCGCGCCACTACTACTGGGCACTCCCAGAGATGGTGGTGCGAGGCCTTTTCCATTTGACCTGGTCGCAGAAAGGCTAGGGGAATCAGAGGGGCTCTCGCAAGTCCGTCCCTCAATCTGTTCAATCTTTGCCTGTCGAAGGACTTCGGCATTCCTTGTCTGGCGCTTTTCTTCCTCCTTTGCCTCGTCCTTTGCCCACTGGATAGCGTTGTTGAGAGTCCAGAACCAACGTTTCGCCTCCACAACGTGGTTGGCTTTGAGGTGATATTTAACGGATGATTTTCCTTGGATCTCGAACCGGGTCTTGTCCTGGGGGTCCATATTGAGTCGAGCAATCTTCATGTTGATCGCACCACGGCACGCCGAGTCCGCATCATCTGTTATCAGGGTTAGATCTGTCCAAACTTCGCCCCAATCGAGAACCAGGCAACAAACCTTGATGTTTATAGTAGCTGAGAACTCCGTCTTCGAGAACAAACCACCGGAGTTTATAACCGCTTGTATAGTTTGTCCATTTCTTCAAGTAGCCTCGCATTTCACGAGAGTCTTTGCCCGCAAACGACGTTTCACCTGCTCCCGGTCGGCCAGAGACGCCTTGTGCGGCGTTGGTGCCAAGGATAGCTTTCTCTTGGATGCCACGCTGGGCGATAACAGCAGCAGGAGACTTCTTGACAATCGCACGTGTTTTATCATCTTTGGTAACATCCTGCGGCAGCTTTCCCTTCTTGTCGCGGCGGAAAGGATCGGCTCCGTGCATCAGTAGAATCTGAAGGAGTTTCGTATCTTTCTTCCGAGCTCCTTCATGCAACAGAGTACCGCCCGACTGAAGGGTCGCAGGGTCAGTGACCAAGTCCAGACTGTTGACATCCAGAAGCCCCTCCACACGCGGCTCCTCTAGGAGCCTCTCCAGACTCTCGTAGTTTCCTTGGGCGATAAGGGACTGGATCTCTTGTGTTTTCTGGTCGATAAACAGGGACCGAGCGAGCTGAAGTTGCTGGAAGATGTCGGGGTTGCGCGCAACATCCAGAGCGGTCTGGCCCCGATAATTGACGACCGAATCATTCACACCAGGGCGATTGAGCAACTCCCGCACCAACGGGCCTCGACCTAGCTGTGCAGCCAGATGGAGGGGTGTGTTTCCTTCGCGATCACGCGCGTTGATATCGAGATCATTTCCGGAGGACAGAATATATTCAACAACCTGCGGCTCAGCACACTGGATTGCGAGATGGAGTATCGTAGTGCCGGAAAGACCGTTCGCGCCCTGGGCGTCTGCTGTCTCCTTGATCGCTTTCGATATCGCCGTTGTGTCGCCACTCCGCAGGATCTCAAAGAGCCTGAACGTACGCACAGACTGGTCAAGCGACATGCTGCCGGTGTCCACCTGCGGTGTCGAGGCGGTCTTGTCGACATTATCGGGGTCAGGGTTGGAGCCGACCGGCTCAGGCGGCTGTTCGGAAGACATGGAAGACATATTTGCCTCCTGGCGGGACTTCCGACGGGTCGAGCTTCGGGTGATGGACAGGGAGGGGAACGACGAGCTGCTGTTCGCGGGAGAGGTAGAGGTCGAGTCTAGGGAGGCGGTGCTGTCGCGGCCCGGACTTTCTTCGTAGATGTCCTTCGACTTGTCGCGGTGTAACAACGCAAGCGCCAATGCACTCCGGGAACGTTTGTGCCTATGTGAACGTGGCATGAGATGTTAGTGGGGAAGTGTCCGATTTTCGATCTGTCTTTTGGTCCAACGGCAAAGGTACAAGGGGCGGCCAAGTCTAGGTGTCCAACTCGTCAAGAATGAGCTGTCCACCGATGGCCTGTAGCTGAAGGTCAAGCTTGCTCGGCCAGGTCTATGACCTGTGAGGCTTAGACACCACAGAACCCCCCGACGACCCATGGAACCGGCCTTGGTCGACCGGGTGTAGACGTGGACTCACCCTTCGCCCTTGTCCGTCATATCTCGACCACCACGGGAAAGCTTGGGGTTGGGGCCAACAGGCTACAGCAGATGCATAGAGAGGAGGCAAGAGGGATGGTAGAGAGAATAAGGATAATGGACGGTGAAAAGAGTAGACTGAGTGGCGGAGGCAAAACTTGTCCTGTACATCGGATTAAAACAGAAGGGGGCAAGGTCGATCATACTCCGTAGTCCCGTGTGCCTTGGCGGGGGGTTCATATGAAGACATCCCTATCAATAGTGATGCCTATATGGGATGCCTTACAAGGTCAAGGTCAAAATGTAGCGACGTAGATATATCGACAGCTATTACACTCTATGAATACATTTACGAATTCTACCCAAACACTATAATACATATATACACCTCTCAACCTAGTTCGTCTCTCCGCTCACGACCACAATGACGCTGCCGAGCTGTCGCTTCAAATCCTCCTTGTCCACGTCATGGGTATCCTCGACCTCACCCCACATATCCGTCTGCCACTTGACCTCCAAACTCGACGCCTCGGCCGCCTCCTCGATACCAAACCTCTTCTGGCCCGGCCGCTGGACGTGACGGAAGTTCTCGCTCCACTCCACAACCAGCCGGACAGCAACCAGGAGGCTCTTCGACGCGAGAATCCCCCGCTCAAGCGCAGCGAGGTCGTACGCCTGCAGCCCCGAAATCCACTGCTTGATGATGTCCTTGGTTGCCTGCGATTGTGAGACCGGGAGGATACTGTCCGCGTCGAGGATGGGCTTGATGTCCACGCCGGGCCAGACCTTGGTGCTCAGGAAGGCGATGATGTCGCTAGCCACGCGGACCTGCATCTCGCGCAGGCTTTCGCGCTTGTCCCCGGCGCCGTCCGCATCCGCGTCCTCCACAGCGTAGGCATTCTTCTCCGGCACCCAACACAGCAGCGTGTCCGTCTCCAGGTAGCGCATGGCCGTGGTGATGATGTCGTCTCGCGTCGTGGTGTCGCCGCGGGCGTCCTCCTGCGCGATGTCGCCGGCCCGCGCGGCCATCGAGGTCAGCGGGATCATGTGCGTCTTGAGCGCCTGCTGCGCGGTGGTCATCACGTCCCATTCGAGGGCGATCGCGTGCGCGAGGTGCGGTTTCGTCGCGGGCACGGAGAGGACGTCCTTGGACGGCGTGCGGAGGGGTCGCGTATCCAGTAGCACTTGGTAATCTCCTTCTAGATAGTTCCGAGAGTGTTAGAGCCGACGTCGCCGCAAATGGCGTCCCGCATAGAAGCAAACATGCCTTGTTTCTTGGTGATATTGACGTTCTTCCAGAACCGCTTCTTCAACGCCGCGCTCTGCGCCGCCCGCGCCTTGGAGACCTCCTCCCGGACCGAGTCGGCGTCATCGGATTGCTTGAACTCCGACGACGCGGAGGGGGCTTTTGGCGGCGGGCCATGGGCCGTGATCGGGTGCGCGACCGCCGCTCTGAGGGGGGTACAATGGAACCGGCGGGATAGGACGGCGTGGTGTCGAGTGGGAGTCGAGATGACGTGCCGCGAAACGGCGGCGGAGGGCCGAAGAAAACCCAGCATCTTCTCCGCGTTCACGCAAGAGACCTGCAAATATAGGTAATTGGTAAGGCCGCGGCGGTTGTCTCGGTCGGGGTTTGGGTTATCGGCCTTCGTGGCGGATCTGGTTTGGTTCGAGGTGTGATCAGAAATGCTGGCCGTTTTTTCTTTTTGCCCCGTCTTATCGCCGGTCCGCCACAGCGCCACAGCTCTCCGCAAATTCAGCTTTCCTTCGAGAAGGACGGAACAAGGTACCACTGTTGTGTAAGTATTTGGTACACGCAGGAGGATCATTACGGTCGTTTATTTGCTATCCGTTGTTTGTTGGTGGTCAGTACCATGCGTTGCTCTGTTCTTCTAGGACCATCTTGTAGCTAGGACGAAGTATATACATGCCTTACATTCCAGAGAATGAATTGTGCTGGATACATCGACTATTTTCTTATTGTTTTGATGCTCCAGAACTTACAACAGTCTCTACTTACTCTACACACTTGTCCTAGTTGTACTGCAGAACGAAGAATCATTTCAACAAGCTAAACATTAGAAGTCGATAGACGACATGCTAAAAGCAAAGCAAATAAATTCAGAAGACCTCCCATATTTGACTCTAGAAGCAAACAACAAGGTAAAAACGTAGTGAAAAAAAAAAAAAAAAAAAAAAATCACGAGAGCCTGCCCATGCTTTTCTAATTTACAAAAAAAAGCACCCAAAGAATAAGTCAAGCATCAATCTGCAACAGTAAAATCCAGACGACGGATAGATGGAAGGACCAAAGATGAAGCGCATTCGGTGCCGTGACCCCGATGTGGCAGAGGGTATGATCGATTCGAAATGCAAAAAAGTCAAGTCATCGAGCAACTCAATGTAAGATCTGTCGAAATGAAACAGCGCGCGAGTATTAATCGGTATCATGCAGAGTGCCACAAAAATTCAGAGTCGTGAAATCAGCGGGGGCGTACTGTGAGCTCGCCCAGATCGAAAAAAAAAAAGAGACCAGGGATATTCTGTCGACAATTTTGTGAAAGGTTATAGACATTGATCTCTCTCAGGGAGTCATGTCGATCGTTTCCAAGTCAAGTGTCATCAGGGCATTGCGTCGTTGACATGAAAAGATATACGGGATGGCGTTGATCTAGGTCGGAAGTTGGTTCGCATGTCTCCCGGTAAATGGAGTGGGGAGCATGGTTGTGCTGCGACAAGAGGAACACGCAAATCACTGAAGTATAAACTTTGGATAGTAGGGCCGCTTCACACGGTCACTTTCCGTTCGCTTCTTCATACGTTCTGCGTCATAATCGTCGGCACCATCTCGGCTACCCCATGTCGTCTGCAGCGTAGATAGTTAGCAACATCTTCATGTGTCAAATCGGTAAATTGATAAACTCCGGGGTTGCAGCAAGAAGCAGGTTTTTGATAATCAGAATCAAAGCACAAGGAAGCGGAGGAGCGGGGTCGGGCTCTTCGATGCATCAAATAGATCGCAATCGAATAACAAGGAACGTAAGACACAACCATCCCAAGTCGAACCCATCCATCATGGATCGATGGGTGTAAGGTGTCCGAGCGGGATTACCAGGCTTAGGAAGGCCGTGGAGAACAAACAACATGCAAGAGACGGGACAAAGGAGGGGCTCGGGGACGAGGAAGGGCTTGAGCAAGCAGGCCTGAGCCTAGAACCCACTTCTGCCGAAGACTGGGCGTTACAAGTAGGCTTTCGACCATTGCAGCCGACGCGCCCGTCGTTGGTGCAACCGAGAGACTAAGGGCAGCGACTAGTAGTTTTGATTTGCGACTTACCACATTGAGAGTTAGCACCGCGTACATCTTGATCCCCCCGTGGAAATAGCCGAAAAGAATCGATACGGGCAGAAGCAGGAAGTCGACGGGGAACCGGATGTAATGTCCCAGCAGTTTGATAAATTTGCTGACGAGCATCCAGACTCCGAGGGCCTGCATCGCGAGGGTGTGGGATGAAGCATCCCACGAGGCGGTTGCCTTGTGGCACAGTAAGACGAGCAACAGGTCTCCCAGGAGGGCCGGCGGGGACAAGGTGGTGAGATGCACGGCGTACGCACTCCAAGGCTGCCGACTGCATCACAGGATTCGAACGTTAGCGTGCGGCTTAAACGAAGCGCTTATGATGTGCCTTGCCAAAACTGGACATAACCGACGCATCCTTTCTGCGGAATCGCCACCCGTGCGCAGACACCCGCAGCAGCGCCGACATGCATCGACCCGAACGATTGCAGCATGGTGGCCTACAATCTCGACAGCCTGGTCGTTGTGGGCTTTCGGGCTGTCGCATCCAGGATGGTGGAAAAGAAGAGAATAGAAAGGATGTACTTACTACCAAATGTGTTTCTCGTGGAACATACTGGTGAGGTTGCTTCTCCAGTTGCTGCGCGACCAGCGGGCGCATTGCTTCAGAAACTTGGGATTGTCCTCCAGAGTGGTCTGCACTTCGGCTTCGGGATGATACTGCATGAACGTCTCCCATCCATGCGACACCATCCACCGAGTAATGAAGTTGTCGTCATCCGCATTCAATTGATACTTTCCAAACCACCATTCCTCGTTCGTAAACGCATAGGTAAAGCCCTCATCCTGGAGGATGCTGGTCTTGTACGCGACAGTCCGTCCAGACATGCAAGGAAGACCACCGTCGATGTGCGTGGTCGCCGCGCAATCAAAGTTCCGTCTCTCTAGGTAGAGAGCACCCAGGAAGCCCCAGATCCGCTGGGAGAAGGTCGGATCCACCGCACGACGGAGTCGCTGGCAGGTAACGACGCCTCCGTAACGTTCGTCTTTCTCAAACGGAGCGAGAATCCAGGGCAGGACCGTACGCGGCCAACTCACATCGTCGTCGGCGAAGATGGTGATGGGGGTGCGAACTTCGGGAATGGCCCTCGTCATTTGACGGCGCTTATTGGGGTGGGTGACAGTAAACAGACGGATTCTCGATTTGGACGCCGGCATGAGGCTCAGCATGTTCTCGGCCTTCTTTCGGTTCGCCTCAATGGTCACCAAGAGCAATTCGTAGGGCTGATTGTCCAGAATGGTGCGGATAGTCTCGACCAGCTCGTCACCGCAGCCATCTAGCGTTGGAAGGATCACGGTGACATCTTGCGCGGTCAATTTGGGGTTCTCCGGCGGGGGAATAGGCTTGAAAGTCCAGAAGGAGAAGAGGTTCACCACAAGACGGAAATAACGATAGAGACTGGATGACACACGGTTAGCGATGTTCAATTATCAATGAGATCGTCCTTTTTTTCTTCTTTTTTGCTGGAAATCAGGCTGGGACAATAGAGAAGAGAGGAAATTGGCTACTGACAAGAGAGCAATAAACGCTCGCATATAGGGGAATTCCATCGTATTGCAAAACAATCACTTATGGGTCCCGGAATTGGTGGGCAATGGATATTTTATGCGCCGCTCCGCCGATACAGCCTGCGGCCCTTTATATATAAGAATCTGTCTCTTGAGCTCCTGTTTTGCCCGATATACTATTTCAAGGCAATTGAGCTGTGTAGTGAGCTTGCACCACCAGCTGTGACCACCCTTCAGATATCAAGAAACAAGCAACACGAAGAGAAATAGGTGGTTATCGGACACTCTCCTGTCAGAAACTCGAATGCTCGAGACGAAGCGAAGGAATGGACAACCGGTGCTGTTCCCCGTGGTCTGGAGCGCAACAAAGACGGTATAATGAGATCGAAGAGCAAGCCAAGGAAAAGAGGATGAAACGAGTGTCCGTGGCAGACCGGAGACCTTGGGGAGGATCAGTCCAAGAGGTCTAGGAAGGAAAAGACTTCCGGGAGAGGGAGAATTGGGTTTGTAAATGTTGTCGACAGGAAGACTTGCAACATTGGAGATTTTTAATTGCTGCGGAGGGAGCGAAAGGACCGGGAACGCACATGTTCAGGGCTGCGCATCTAGACAATCCATGGCACTAATCCCTAAAAAAATTAAAAGACGATTAAAAAAGAAATAAAAAAAGAAAGAAGGAGAAAAAAAAGTTCCTTCGGATGCTCCAGTTTCGTTTGTCATTTTGAGTGTCATGCAGGTGTATTTTTGCCTCGTGCGTCAGAGACCCTGGATCTAGATGGACTGATGGGGGAGAGGGCGAGTGGAGAAGGGATTGGCGGCGGCCCATGCAGCTCTGGTGCAGTTGACATGGGCCCGAAGAGTGGAGGCGGGCTGATGGTGGGTGGGCTAATGCACTCAGCAAGATGACGATACTAGTAGTGAGGGAGCTAGTGCTGCGAGTTACTAGTGGCTGTGGTGGATGTCGCCGAAATCGTTTCATTTCATTTCTCAATAATTCATTATTGTTATTATTATTCCTTTATTCATGATTTATTTATTTATTTATTTATTTGGATTTTTATTGTTCTTCGGATACTGTGGAACACCCCGGAGATTCTCTTTGCTCCTACCACCAATCGATCCCCCCGGTGCCTCGCCCGTCTTGGACGGTTGTTTCTAAGATCCTAGACGGTCTTGCCAATCTAGGGTGATTGCTTCCAGATTAATCTATCAAATCCCCCGTGGCTGGCTTATAAGGTAAGTGATGCCGATGAACCGACGGTTCAACATACGGAGTACTACACCGGAGAGACTACGACAGCAAGGTGGGGACACGAGAGTTCGTTTATCGGCTGGATGATCAACCCGCGTACGGAAGCAATGAAAAACAAGGCATTCGAGTTTCATCCTTTCTGGGTAATTGACATCTTTTTATTCTATAAATATTGTTATGATTGTGATAGTGATTATTATTATGATTATTGTTTCGGTTCATTCGCGTTTGACTTTGGTGGAGAAAGCTTCTTAGCTGCTGGTCAGACAACTTATCACGAGTATCACCATGCATTATGAGCATTCCAGTGTGGATAGAACACAGGGAGGCAAAGAGAGACAGAGAGAGGCAAAGAGGCAAGAATTGTTACAACTCCACCATCCGAAGTCAGCACAAGGCTGAAACTAGCATTCCATCGAATCACATGTGTCTCAGAGTCAACATCAGGTGTCAACAGCCCTGTGATGTCTATGATCGGACGGGACTAAATTCTTTCCTGTCCATCCGACTGGCATAGTTGAAAAAGAACTGTTAACATTCCTGGAAGGATTGGCACATGAACCTTGTCAACATGGTGGCAATTTCAAAGAGATCACGACCGGTCTTCCCCACAATCTTCCAGTTCGCTGTTAAATCTTGTAGACTACTGCACAGGTGATCATATGGACAAGAGGAGGCAAATCATGGAATGTACACGATTCGCATATCGAACACTACCCAAAACGAAGACAAAAGGAATTAACATTGAACCCAGAGGTCATAGGCCAAGACTGGACATAATTCATTATGTACAGGAGTTACATTTCTCCAAAAGTCAAAAGAATGCCTGCATGACTTTGACTCACGGATAATCCACACCACGAGGGACGGCCGACATGCCTGCAACCAGGCAATCATACTGTGTGGCTTTAGCGAGGCACGCCATCCGAGCTACTCCCATCGCCGGCAGGTGGTGTCCCGATTTCGGTCTCTTTTAGCCGCGGATGATGTGGCCCTCGCGTTCGCATCCTTGATCCTGTCGGGGCGAATAGAGGCTAAAACCAAGATAATCTTAATCTCAAGAAATCGAGAATGGCTTATTTTTGCCCTTATCGTCGGAGAGACCCAATGATGTACATTGTATACCAGCAGCAAGCGCCAAACTGAAAACGTTCAGGACAACGGTGATCCTAGCGGCGATCTGCCACCCCCTCGACCCCATGTACACCAGAAGCCACCAGCATGCCAATACCACTAAATTCTTATGAATCATGGAGCTGTAGTGGGGAAACCCGCCCGAAGGTGATAGGCTGGGGGTAATACGAAGTCGAGACCATCCCCTAGACAGTCATTGTGTGCTCTACACGTAGAGACTCTGCGATATGTCTCTACTCGTTGCTGTTGGGATCGTTTATGATGCAGCGTACTCATACTACATAGGCCCTGGGCTTGCATCTTATCTTTTCTTGAATTGTTGTGGAAGGATTAGAGTCTAGTGGAGACTACACTAGATCCTACAATACCCAGGTAGTACTCCGTATTCCGACCATCAACACAACCGGTTCATCACAACCATCGCAGGACACTGGCAAGTCGGTTCATTCTATCTGCGAACTAAGCCATGTTGCCATCCCAAATGGGTCAGATTCTTTAACGGTTAAATGTTCCCTCCAGTGCGAGGGACCAGTGGGTTTCACCTTCAGCCACGTCCTGCCTAATCGGCACTCTAAAGGGACCTGTTTAACCCGACACTACTCTGTAATATCAAAGCAATGCATGCCATCAGATATTCTTCTTTTCAATTGTGTGGTTGATTCTTAGATCGACTGATCCGAATAATAGCTAGATATGTTGCAGGAATCATCGCTGCAAATGTGTTTTGACAGGAGCTGGTCTCAATATCTCCTCTCCAATATCTCCTCTTCTCATCAAATCAAATACATACTCCGTACCGTCAGCACGACATGTGGAAACTCTCGCCCGGACAGATCCAGCCAATCGCTTGACGGATTGTCGTAATCTCCCATAGTCATATTTCTCCGCCCACTTAGGCCCGTTTAGTGGCCGTGAACCTGCGGCCCGAGCTCTTTTTCAGGAAAGTCTGAATTGAGCAGTTGACTCGCATGGGAGGAGGTTGGGGTGTGTCGGCCAATATCGCCTTGGCGGCTGGCAAGACTTGTGTCTAAGTTAAGAGAGTCCGTCCACCAGCCCTAGTGGCTGCAGATGATAATCAATCCTCCTGCATCTTCCCCTAAAAGGAAATGTCCCTCAGACTTAGCAGGTGTCTTCTGATTTGACGGCCATCAATCTCCAGATATCAGGTAATTAGTTCGTTACCTTCGGGAGCGCCGTGTTGAGGATTCGTAGGTACCTAGGTACAGAGGATCCTTAGCGAGCGGCTTACGATGCTTACGGAGTACGATCCTAGCCATCACCCCGGAAGGTGTCATCACTCAACCGTGGATCGCCCAGAGCAGAGCGCCCGAAGCAACTCGTAATTCCGATCTTCCTGGACGTCATGCTGGGATCGCCACGGCCAGTGCAAGGCCCTCCATTCCTTCGAGATCTGTTGACGCGTTTGTACGATGGCCTATCAACTCGTTTACTGTACGGTCGGGATTTGATCCGGCCGTGGTCGGCGGGAAGGGAATTGCATAATTGTAGGCGGGCTCGCATCGCACGAATTTCCCTCAATAACAGACGGCGATAAAATGTGGACGCGCGACGGCGGGCTCCTATTCGTGCGTGCGTCCGCAGTCGGTCGTGGTAGTCGCCACGACCATTGCATGTCGAGCAAAGTGAAACAGACGCGTATCTCTCGTCTGCACGGACTTTCCAACCATGGCTCCGCCGTTTCCACCAAGACCCGGGAATGGCCGAGGGCCTATCGACGCCCCCCGGAGGAGACACCTGGCCCTTATTGTGATTATTATTCCTACCATACCTGGGTATGGTCTCCTGCGTCGCTGCCTGGCTGCATGGTGGCACTGTGGGGATGGACCCCAGAGTCCTATACTGAGGTACTTCCCAGTAATAACAATAATAACATCAATAATATCAACGGTCAAATGCCGACACCGGACAAGGCCTTGTCCTCCGTGCCAGCTAGCGGTGGATCGGTGAATAACAACAGTACTAGTTAGTTACTGCTGTCAAGGAATTGTGTACCTTGCAGCGATTGTCAATGGGTACTAGTGCTGCTAGTACTATCTACTAATGTGCGACAATCACGTTATTTTACCAGAAATGGACCGAATGTGAATGCCCATTGTTTCAGGCGACCAAGGATCTCTCTCACCAATGCTACGACAGCATGGACCATGGGACTCTGTGCGCGGAAGGCCTGAATCATCCGTCCGTGGTCAGGATACGGATCCCTCCGTTGTGTTCGTCGTTATGTCTTCGGCTCCGACCAATTGTGGGTTCAAATGCACGGCGGAGCCGGACAAGTGTACGGACGGGATCCATGACATGCAGCTCGTGCCGTCGATCAGGGCGCCAGGGGAGTTTGGTAGGAGTCAGATAGGCAAGTTGGATCCGAGTGCACTGGTGTCCGGACGACGAGGTAGGTAAGCATAGTTACGACAGGATCGGATGGGTATTGCGTTGTACGGAGTACTCCGGTAAAGCCGGAGGACTCGATAAAGTATTCTTCCTGTTGTTCTCTTCTTCAATATAATAATAAGAGGGTATAGTGGGTAACTAAGTGTGGATTGCAGTGTAGAGACAGACGGCTACCCCGGAAGATCGGCCGTGACCTGAGCATACCTACCTGCATACTCCGTACCTAGGTAGGAGCACAGCATGAGTGCCGGCCGATATGGCGCGGCCGACACCCCTGATCCGTTTCTAATTGCAGCCCCGTGCAGACAAGGAACTTTTGGTACCGAATCCAGGACAAAAGTTCTGCGACATGGAATCCCAATCCAGCAAGGTACAGCATACCCTGGGAGGATGGTACGGTAGCTGTGAACAGGCCAGACAGGACGCCTTAGCTCGGCCATACTTGTACCAGATAGGTAGTTACTACCTACACTACCAGCACTACTAATATACAGAGTACCTACAGAATAACTAGTACTACCTACTCCGTAGTACTAGTCCTACACCTGCGGGGCAAATCTCCGCTGCGAGCCGCACGACGGCCGGCACGCAGTTCGCTTATTCAGTGGGCAACAGGCAACCGGGGCGTCTCTGCCGCGCCCGCTACGTGTTTGGCAACGATGGGCGATATTCTGCCTATGCACGAGGTACGGAGTCGCCAGAGAGGATTAAGGAGCGAATGAAAGGAGGGATTCGGAGCATTGCCCCGTCAGGTCGGGAGGTCGTCTCGAGTTGGAGATAAGGGGGTGGACTGCACGAGGGTTTGCACATCCACCGAGAGGCACGAGCGAGCGACTATTCCGTGTGGAGTAAGAGTCTGCTCACGATCACGAAAGTAGTACTCCCGAGTAGATACTTGGTAATACGTATGACCTGGTACCTGTCGGAGTAGGAGGTACTCAGCAGTATTCTTCCATCAACTCTAGGAAAATTCTGACTATCAGCCAGTTCGCGTCTATATCTACTTTCGACTTTGCCTTCCCACGGAGATTTGGTCGACTGAATGCACTACCTACCTACCTCCCAACCTAACTACTACTACTAGATAGATGTACCGTACGTAATGAATTGTAGAACCTGCAGTTACTAACATCTCTGCCATTATTACTAGTTACCCGCCGGTGGACTCCTGCACTCGCCTGCCGCTCAGGCCGTCAATCAGGAGCTCCACCCGACTATTCTCTTTCGAGCCACAGCCTGCTGGCTTCCTACCACGACCTCCCGTGCAGTACAATCCTGGTCGAGGAGTTAGCTCAGTTGGGAGACTGGTCGATGGGTCAACATGCAGATGTTTCCCGGAGCCTTCCCGAATCTACTCCATAATACTACTGATCAGAGGTAGCTAGCTGCTTGGTCTTCTCTCAACCGTTTGGATTACTATTTCATCCGTCAAAGCATGCGGAGTCCTCCTTCGGAGCGCACCACAGTGACTAACTACCCGAGTCTGAGTCGAGGCCCGAGTGGAGCAGAACAACTGTCTGTTGTTCTGCCCGTGATCGACGAGCGCTTCCGCGCTTCTTCCTGTTGTTCCGTGCCTTTTTCGCTTCACGGGATGCCAGCATCCTGTCTGTAGGAACCTCATCGTTTCCCTTTGTCGACGTTGGCCGAGCATTTTTCCCGTTCCCAACCCGACTCCAACAAATCTGCCCTGATATCCTCCAAAGGATCTGGCTGGGTGGGCCTGCGGGTAGGCATCATTGATATACACGGGTGTACGGAGAACTCTAGAACTATAGCGTGGTCTGTTGCCCTTTTCGGGACGGTATCCTACTCAAGATCACCATCAAGTGCAGGATCGAGTCATGCTCCAGGACGATCATAAGGTCCAGGCCATAGCTACAGATGCGCTTGATAATCAGCATCATACTCTATCCGCACCGTCATGCGTAGGAATCAATCCTAGACAGCGGATGCATAATACAAGATCCATTATCACACCCCGACAAGCCAGAACATACAGGAACGGAACCCTATACTGGAGCACATAAGCATCCTGCTCAGGCGCAGGAACTATGACGTCAAATCATGCGCGACGACTCGCTCTCAGACACCCTGCACTGGCTGCGCAGCCTAGTTGACACCATCCGCACATCAGACCATGGCGGAAACGCATCTCGTACTTCCCCCCGACACACTAATGCGCCTGCATGAACAGGGAACTCCCTGTCCGATCTCGCAGGAAAGTTTCTAGAAGACTCGTTCCCTCGTGAGGCGTGGCAGCTCGCATATATGGCACTTCCGAGGCCGGGCTCTTACTTAATCTTTCCTCTGCATTCTGTGTCATGTGAGACGCGGTTCACAGAGTATAGGAAATGGCATAAGGTATTCGCATTCCTACCGCAGGTGATAGTACCTAGTAGTGATGTTGTAGCTAAACGTGGCAGACAGCAATATAAGAAACCCGGTAACTCATCTACTCCGTGCGACGGGCGTGCCCAGTGCATCCTACCAGCTACATCCCTGACGGCTTCCATAGCCAGCTCCTAGGCTCGAATGTCACTTCAAAATCAACGCCGCCGAACAGCCCAACGGCGCCATACAGATCATAATCCCCCTCCAGTCCCTCGACACCCCCTGCATCAGCGTCCACCTCTTCGTGGAGATTCCAGCCGCCCGCGACTCGCCCATCCCGCGTGATGAACACGTCAACCTTGGCCTTCTGTCGTCCTTTCTCTTGGACCAGGGTGTCATTGTCAGGAAGTTGAAACGTCATCCCCAGACCAACGGTCTCGCCGACGCGGAACGCGCTGGTAAACTCCATGCCGCCCCAGGAGTCATTCACAAACCGACACCCGTCGTCCGAAAAGACACCCAGGCTGCCTCGCTCCCAGCCCGGCGATCGCCAGTACGGGTACGGGTGCGCCACGAACCCAATAGCCAGCCCGCTTGTATCGGCGCCAGGCCCCGAGCGCAGCCGCAGGATCTTCACCTCGAAGTAGATCGTTTTGCTCCTCTCCGTGAGAAAGGGCGAGTCCTGCGCCGCAAAGTACAGTGGTAGGTGCGTGGACACCAGACAGTCCCCGTTGCGGTCGCGCGTCGACCCGCTCCAGCGTCCCGGGGAAGGCGAGGCGATGCTCCCCTGGAATGCGCTGGACTTGATCGGCCGGATGTCGTGCTCTTGCACGGACGTATAGACCGGCATGGACGGCCGCACGGGCCAGTGCAGCGGGTGTCTGTCGCAGTACTCGTGGGCGCGGTCTGCGTCGTCGGCTGAGGCGTTCCCCGTGTTGGAGCTGTAGTAGCCAGTTGTTGGGGGCGGCGGCAGCGTCGCGGTGTCGGGGATGGCTTCCTGCCAGTTGTGGTAGGGCGGAGGGACCCGCGTTGCCTCGTTACTGGGGTCCGAGGACTGGGATGCTTCGTAGGACGGCGGGGCGCCCCATGAGCCTTGGGAGGTATAGTTTGACATGGCGAGTGGATTTCTGGTTGACGTGTGATGTGAGGCGGGGATGAGTGATGAGGATGGAGCTTGAAGAAGCCGCGATGCGGTGGTAGATGCCAAGTGTGGCTGTGTTGAAGTTCAAGGAACGAGCTTTATATGACGGTACTGATGTTCATCGGGACTTCCAGAAGCTGTGTCTACCACGGATTGACAAGGACTGACGAACATTGCAATCAGAGACTAGTCCCTGTGCGGTAATCCAACCCAATATCATCCATGGATGGGTTGTTTGAGCCCCACCACGAGAGAATCTGGGGAACGAAAGGCACATCTCGTTCAGGGTAGTACTACGTTCATCTGGTGTAGACTAGGTTTCAGGGTGACAAAATATAAGGGTGGTACTAAACTTACCCAAGAAAGTAGTGCAACGAACATGAAGATGACTATACATAAATGATCTCTTTTCTCAAAGGGTTAGAGTTCAGACCTGTTCAAAAGGCGTGTTGTGCTTGATATGTAGAATAGACCTATTCATAGCCTGATGCTTGCAAAGACTGACTTCATCCTATTTATAGGACCAGCGATAGATCGAGAACAAAGCATCCGTCCCAACTCTAAACAGAATGACCTGTCTTAGGGCACGCATCGGCCTGTTTAGGCCAATAGTCTCAGATGAAACCCCGGCCACATCCACAAATCGAGATCGCCAGCCTCGAATCTATCTCAAACCCCACATTGTCTCTCATCATCAACCACCACAATGAATACATACATCACGAACCCTCGTCAGCATTATAAAATCCCCTGATCGCCCCCAGCCCCCCATGTGACTTGTGCAACACTTCAAACCTGGTGTGGCGTGGGATCTGTTTCCCAGCTTTTCGTTCCTGTACCACCTCCGACAACCATTGCAAACGCATCCATGGTTTATTACCAGACTGAAGCCGCTTGACGCCACCATCCTGCAGCATTCCCTCAGCAGACAAACACCGTCGCATCGCAGTCCAGACTTGCCCTTCTTCTCAGATCCCAAAAATGAGCCAGGATAATCAACATAGACGATCGCGCCGTCTGTCCATTACCCAGCATCTACAGCGCATGTTCCATGGCGACAGACCCGTGAGTTGGGTACTCCACGGCGACTACAGCGACAGCGGTGTTTGCTGATGACTCGATGTAGAAGGAGAATGATGCCGCCCACGTCTCCCCAGACAATGAGCTCGCCGACGCCCCATCCCGATCAAGCGCAGGGAACACAGAGCACACAATTCGCGGCGAAGATGCCAATCACAGATCGAGCCATGTCAGCCCTCTGGAGCCCAATTCAACCTCCCACCCCTCAAGATCCAAACTCTCCGTCCACCATAACCCAGAAGACACCTCGAGACCCTCGTCCGGACAATCCACTCCACAGCCCCCGCGCCTCCGTCTAGACACTCCATCAGCCGCAGCCGAGTCGCCGACTCGACCCGAGATCTGTGTCTCTCCAACATGGCAGAAGAACCCCGTGCGGAAGAGCGAGCGGCGCGCTACAAGGCGATTGGAGGCAGAGAGACTGGAGCTGGAGAAACGATTACTCCGACTTGAACGCGCCGAAATGTCCGATGGCTCGGTGAATCCCAGGCGCGAGCCACGGCGTCTGACAAAGAAGCAGCCGCTGGAGAGCTCGAGCAGGACGTCGAGTGTGGGTGCGGACGAGTCAAGGGCCTCGCGGCTTTCCTCTGTGTTCTCGAGGCGCTCGTCGCGATCGCGATCCCGCTCGCGATCGAGCTCAGTTAATGACGAGAAAAGACATTTCTCGAAACGCTGGTCAATCGACCGGGTGGATCTGCTGAAGCAGGATCGAACGCCGCAGCCGCCCTCTTCTGCTCTTCCTGTGACGTTGCCCGAGCGGTTTGGGAATGTAATTTCCAAGGAGCTGACTGTTAAGCCGCATGGGCTGCCTGCGCAGGACACCCGCGCCAGGGTGGTCTCAGATGCATCTGAGGGGAGTCCAGAACGTCTAGGTGTTGATAAATCCAACGATTTCACTCAACTGGGGTCTACGGAAAGCCCATCTACTCCCAGTTCCGAGAACATGGAGCGAAATGCGCAAAATGCAGACAACTCGAAACAGTTGAAGGAATTGGACCGTACGTCCTTTGCGGCAACGCTGAATCTTGACAAGAGAACTATGGATGCAAAACAGAAGTACAGAACCGCACCCCACATCGAACCCTTCGACAGCAGAAAAACAACAACCGAAGCTGGACCAAAGGTGGTGGAAACAAACTCGGCGATTCCAAAATCCCCAACCGCTCTGCAGAGCGCCCATCGTGTATCGAGCGGAAGTGTCCAGTCTTCCCCGGCTGTTTTACCGTCGGGGGCTCCGAATACGCAGAGGGCGTTTGGCCCGAGACATCAGAAACGCTTTACTTCATCGCCGCTCGCGAGTCCAGCTACATTTAGCAGTGACGTTGATACGACTTCGAGTGACAACACGCAACGTGTACAAAATGAGAGCATTTCGGACAAGTCCCTCCCAAACCAACAAACATCCCGTCGACTTCGTTCTCATAGACTGGCGAACGGGGGTCCAGAGAACAAGAAAGCCGCGAGCACGCAATCCGAAGGACACCGGTTTTACATGAGACCATGGAAGCATACAGACACGAAACGCAAGTCAGCCGTAGGTGAGAGCGCTCCGACCAAACCCACGCCACCGGTGACGCGGAATCGCGACTCCGAACAAGCCGTGCAACCCCATTTCAAGCCTCCGATGGCATCGCCAAATAGTGTATCCCCTGCTTTATTGGAGCAGCGGTCAAAGGGGACACACTCAGGCAAAGAGCCATCCTTGAAGGAGCTCATTGCTACTATGGGAGATGCTAGCTTGGATCCCGGGGATAGGTCTCGACCATCAGAAACTCCCTCTGGGAAGCATCCAATGAATCATCATGCGAGGGGCTCCTCGAAGGTCTCGTTGTCGACGAAGTCTTCTCAAGAATCGGTGGATTACAACACCGCGGATGAGGCGCCCTCGGGGGGTTCTCATCATGAACACGACGATGTCAGTCCGTCTGATCCCACGTTTATGACCGGAGGTCTTCAAGGCCCTGGCAAACCGGATGACCATGCAGCATCGCACCATGCAAACGGTGTCAAGCTACGACAACCTGGCAAGGACTTGAGGCAACTACAACAGGGTCAGGTGGTTGCAAAGCTGTTCGTGGTCTGTTGTCATTGTAGCTTGTGGCACGATATGCCATCTGAAGTATACGCTAGATTGGCCTTTCCTGGCGGTGCCCCTTCTGTTCCTACGGAAGATGGCCCAAGCGCTGGGTCGTCCAGCGTCCGACCCAACTACGAACCGGGTGATCGGAAACGGTCCCTCGCAAAGTCTCCTGGCCAGAGGGAAAAACCAGGTATGGATCCCAGGAAGGGCATACCTCCTCCGTCTGTGGTGAAATGTTGTTGGTGTGAGCATAAGATGAGCAAATTATGTTGTCAGGGGTGGACGACTGTTGTTCAGATGCGCGAACGGCATCACTAGGCAGGTGTTTGGTGTAATGATGTTGATATATAATTGGAGACATGTGATGATCTTTCTGAAATAGCGAAATCCACTGTACTATATCTACCCACGAGTGTGCCTAGGAGGGGGAAATATATATTAAATCAGTACCTCGTACTATACGAATTATGTTATTTTGGAGTAGTCGTGAAGAGGGGACATTATAATGAGATATACTGGAACTGTGAACTTTTCAAGAGTTCTTCGATGTGTGGGCTTGTGGCGGTCAGGCAGGCGAGCACACTACCTTGCGTTCTCACATGCTTGGTGACATTTCGACCTCGGTCGTGCGGATAAGACACTTAGTGAATCCAGATCTATCTACTTCTGCGTCCTTGCTGGAGAGTCAAATAGAAATAAAAAGATAGGAATAAAAATAAAAACAAAAAGAGAAGGGCCGAATGGGGATCGAACCCATGACAGATGGATCTGCAATCCATTACTCTACCACTGAGTTACCGACCCTTGTTGATGACTCAGGGTTCATTAATTGAAACATAGCCTTGACTAAACTTCTTACTCCACTGACTTCCGGTTGGCGCATCCCATATCAAAGCAACTGTGGGGGTCAACAACCACTCGACAAAGACCCGGAGGCTGGTCAACTCCGTCGTTTTTGTCCCTCTGTCGCCTACCCCAGAACCCCTTCATGGCCTAGATCGATATCATGGTGCGAAAAAGAGGCCTGTCAAATGCTTCCTCGATCTCCTCCGCCCCCGATGGAAACCAGGTATGTCCTCCAAATAGCCGGTCATCGCATTTGCACTATCTCCGCCTTTCCTGCTTTTGGTTCTTGCCTGCCTGCCTTGTCTCTGTATCATTGCAATCTGACCCTTTCCAGGAGCTGGAGAGCATGTATGATTACCTCGCCAAAGTAATTCTACTTGGGCCGAGTGGTGCTGGAAAGTAAGTCACCCGGTTAAAGCCCATAGCTCTGTAAAGTCGTCGCTCACCAAACATCCTCGACCTAGGTCCTGTGTCCTCCATCGGTTTGTGAAGAATGAATGTACGTGGATCGATTCTTGCCGGATACCTCCGCGCCAGATAATCAGTTCGCTAATACCTCTCGTACCTACAGGGCGAGTCCTATCATCACAAACAATCGGAGTCGAATTCTCCTCGAAGATCGTTAAGCTGGGTTCGGGTCCGCGACGAACAAGGATCAAACTGCAACTCTGGGACACAGCGGGAACGGAGCGATTCCGATCTGTCTCCAGGTCTTATTATCGAGGTGCCGCCGGAGCCATCCTCGTCTATGATGTATCCTCCCACCAGTCCTTCGCGTCGCTGCCCACGTTTCTCATGGACGCGCGGGCGCTGGCCTCGCCCAACCTGACCGTTGTCCTCGCCGGGAACAAGGCGGATCTCACAACCGACTATGCGCCGCACGGTGATTTTGACGATAGCATGCGTCCGCCCCCTACGCCGTCCAGTACCTCCAGCAAACACTCCTTCCCCTATGATTCCGGCGGTGGCTCGGTCCGCTCCTTCGCCAACCTCGGATCCGGCACGAGACAGACCGCCACGTACGCACCCCATGGTCGCGAGGTGAACGCGGAGGAAACCTCGCGATGGGCGGCAAAAAACAACATTCCCGTCGCCGTGGAAGTTTCGGCTCTGACGGGTGAGGGCGTGGATGAATTATTCCACCGGCTGGCCCGGATAATTCTCACGAAGATTGAACTGGGTGAAATCGATCCCGACGACCCTCAAAGTGGCATCCAATATGGCGATGGTGGTCCCTACGGACATACGACCAGCGACGCCTCGAGTGTCAGGAGCCAAATGACCCTCGATGAGGGTGGCGTCCAGCTGCAACGCAGGCACCCGAGGAGAAGAGGCGCCAACGACTGGAGGAATGGCATGAGAGAGTGGGAGGATGTCTTTCGGCTCGGTGGTTCGCACCAGAGCAAAGGAAGGGGGTGCTGCTGAACTGTGCCCTCATGTGTCCACCTTCGCCGTTCCCTTCTCCCCGAATACCCTTCTTGCTATCCCGAAGTTCCTGAATTCCGGGCACTTCTTATACCCTAATGATCGACAGCTTGGTCGCGGCTCCTTCAGGTTCTCATCTACTGTACAGCTTTTCATTCGTTCTTGGCTCAGTTGCTTTATTCTTCCGGACCCATTCCACAGCGTTATTGGAATGGGTTGGTCCTGGAGGATTCCGTGATACCCCGACGACTTTCTTTGATTTGCAACAACCCCGGGCAAATGAGGATGGCTACGGCGGCGAAGCCTAGCTACACTGTCTCCTCGGATGCTGCTCTTACCCATCGTTCTACATAGTCAAATGCATAGAACTATTATTTGACTGTTCATTCTCATATATGGCTAACATAGTGCCCAATTATACAGTCTGGAATCGTCATCATCGTCATCATCATCGTGGTCCCAAGCACACCGCCCTTATGCTTCAATACCGGAAATGAGAGTCTTGATACCCTTTCCTGCCTTGACCTCCTTGAATGCCTGCTCGGCCTCTTCGAACTTGACAACGCCGGTGATCAGCTCCTTCACGTTGACGCGGCCGGACGCCACCAGCTCGACCGCAAGCTTGTAGTCCCCGCTGCCATAGCGGAAACTGCCCTTGACGTTCAACTCCTTGGTGCACGCCGCCATGATGGGGAAGTTCATCTCGCTGCGACCCATGCCACCCTGCACATAGGTGCCGCCCGTGCGAAGCACGTGGATACCCGTGTGGACGGACGGCTCGGCGCCGGAGGCGTCAATGGCGACATCCGCACCGGGGCCCAGGTCGTTCTCGGCGATGAGGCGCGCCGCGTTTTCCTGCGCCGCGACCTTGGCCGGCTCGAAGATGGCCGTCGCCGCGTAGTTCTTGGCGAACTCCAGGCGCGGCTTCTGGATGTCGACGGCGACGATCTTGGACGCGCCAAACGCCCGCGCAACCGCACAGCACAGCAATCCGACCGGCCCCGCGCCGAACACCACCACCGACTGGCCCGGCGTCACCGCCGCCTGCCGCACAATGTGCACCGCCACCCCCAGCGGCTCCATCAGCGCCCCCTCCTGCAGCGTGATCTGCTCCGGCAGCTTGTAGCAGAAGTCCTCCGGCAGCGCGTAGTACTTGGCCAGCGTGCCGTCGTACGGCGGGGTCGCTGCGAACGCCATCTCGTAGCAGAGGTTGTACTTGCCCGCCTTGCAGGGCTCGCACCGCCGGCAAGGGATGCCCGGCTCCATCGCGACCCGGTCGCCCACCTTCAACGTCGTCACGGCCGACCCGACCTTGGTGATGACGCCCGACGACTCGTGGCCCAGCACCATTGGGTCTTTCACGACGAACTGACCGATCGAGCCGTGCTCCCAGTAGTGGACCTATAGATACACCGGGTCAACGAGGGTCTGAGAACGGATAGTTTTTGGAGACGGCACGTACATCGCTACCACAGATACCGGTGAACCGGACGTTCACGATGACTCCATGGGGATCCTTCAGCTCTGGGATCGGACGGTCTTCGAATTTCACCTGGTGGATGCCCTGCAGGACGAAGGAAAGGTTCTTGGGTGTGTTAGCCACAGCTCCGGCTGGCGCATGGCCGTATAGAGTGAATTGACTCGACGTACCTGTGCGCTCATTGTGTTGGCTCTGAAATTGGAGGTGGTTGAACGTATCCAGAAGATAGGAGGGGCAGCGGGGAATATGTAGGTTACAGGTATGGGGTGAGGTGTGCAGGAAAGTTAGGGTTGTCGCTCGGCGAGAAGGGAAATTATCAGAGACACCAACAGGGATAAATGGCAGCAGCTATCTAATCAATGAGCTACAATGTGACCACCAGAGTTTTCTTCTTCTGGGCCCGGATGGACGAGTGAGCACGGCGTAACAGCTGTTCTCCCCCGCCAACTGCTCCGCAATGAGCTCGCCGACTGCAATTACCCGGTCCGAGTGCTATTTAGCCGGGGTGGATATCGTCCCACGGAGTAATGCTGCTTTGGGAGGAGCACAACCGCCCGGTGGCGGGTTGCCGAGAGCCGATGCTGCTCTTCTTCCATATGTACTACGACTACCGATAGTCCAGAATGTCTCCAAGTCTTCATCAACGTCTAGATAATGGATATACGCTGTTCGTACAGGAAAGTACAGTGACCTGGCTGATTATGTAAGTCGGCGGGGAGACGCCAAGACCGCCTTCCCCCATGAGGTAATCTACAGAGGACTGCTCTCTCGGCCGATCACCAAAGCTCATTAAAGAGCTCCCGCGATATCCTTCACTCTTCCACCCAGACAACTGGGCCTATGAGCTTCGTGTTGCCTCTGCCACACAACCATCACGATGGTTCAGCCCAATGTTTTCCATCCCTTGAAGGGCACGTTCCGTTCCCTCCGCTCTGGCCTCCCGCGGTACTCCCCCGTCCAGAACCGCTGCTTTGGAGCAACATCGCGGGTTCGTGCCGAGGACAAATCGCAGTCATTCAAAAACCAGCTGTATGAAAGCACCCAGCAGCGATTGAAGCGCGAACGCGCAGAACAAGAGCGGTATTCCCAATACCAGACTCAGTCCCAAGGCGGCCGTTACGCCGCCTTGATGTTCGGTACGTCCCTGCTCCAGACCGGCTTAGACATGGATCTGATATCTTGTCAGCGCTGGCCTTTTTCTCCACCGGTGCCTATTTTCTAGGATCCCTCAAGCCTGCCAGTCTGCCCACTTCTTCCACCACGAACCTCTACGACCTGAGTCCGCCACACCACAATGTCTCCCAGTCCAACCTGCAGGCAGCCTGGGCCGATTTCGTTGAGATCCTAGGGAAGGAGAATGTGTCTACAGAAAATGCCGACCTCGAGATGCACTCCGGCTCCGACTGGTCGTCGTATTCACGGAAAGCGAACGAGAAGCCGTTCCTGGTCCTGTATCCTTCGTCTACCGAAGAAGTGTCCCGCATCATGAAAGTCTGTCATCAGAGACTGATTCCGGTCACCCCATACTCTGGTGGCACCAGTCTCGAAGGCCATTTCGCGCCCACCCGAGGTGGCGTCTGCATTGATTTCCGCCGCATGGATCGCATTCTGGCGCTCCACAAGGAGGACCTGGACGTGGTTGTGCAGCCCGCCCTGGGATGGGAGGATCTCAACGAGGAGCTGTCCCAGCAGGGTCTGTTCTTCCCGCCGGACCCCGGACCGGGCGCCATGATCGGCGGCATGGTCGGCACCGGCTGTTCGGGCACCAACGCGTACAGATACGGCACCATGCGGGAATGGGTGCTGTCGCTGACCGTCGTTCTCGCGGACGGAACCATCATCAAGACTCGCCAGCGCCCGCGGAAGTCGAGTGCGGGCTACGACCTGACAAAGCTCTTCATTGGCAGCGAAGGCACCCTCGGACTCGTCACAGAAGCCACGCTGAAGTTGACCGTCAAGCCTAAGAGTCAGAACGTGGCCGTTGCCAGCTTCCCGTCCATCCACAACGCCGCTCAGTGCGTGACGCGCGTGGTGGAAGAAGGCATCCCAGTCGCCGGCGTCGAGATCCTCGACGATGTCCAGATGAAGTGCATCAATGACAGCCAGGCGACGAGCCGGCAATGGAAGGAATCCCCCACGATTTTCTTCAAGTTCACCGGGACGCCCGTGGGCATCAAGGAACAGATCAGCATGGTCCAGAAGATCGTCTCGGCCACGTCCGGACGGTCGTTTGAATTCGCCCGCGGCGAGCAGGAGATGCAGGAATTGTGGAGCGCTCGGAAGCAGGCTCTTTGGAGCGTCATGGCCATGCGTAGAGGGCCCGAAGACCATGTCTGGACGACCGATGTGGCTGTTCCCATGAGCAAACTCCCCAACATTATTGAGGCAACAAAACAGGACATGACTCAGAGCGGATTGTTGGCGGGCATCTGTGGCCATGTGGGCGATGGCAATTTCCACGGTAAGTAAAATACAAGCCGTCGACTGGAGTGAAGCGAATCCGCAGGCCCGATGCTAACTTGTCTTGCTCACCAGCCATCATTCTCTTCAACGATGCGGAGAAGAAGACCGCCGAGGGCGTTGTTCATCGAATGGTGAAGCGTGCGGTTGAAATGGAAGGCACCGTCACTGGAGAGCACGGCGTTGGCCTCATCAAACGCGACTATCTCGAACACGAAGTGGGAGAGTCAACCGTAGATGCCATGCGGCGGGTAAGATATATGACACTTGCCTTTTGAATGCTTTATGCGTGCTAACAGATCAATGATACAGCTAAAACTGGCTTTCGACCCGCTGTGCCTACTCAATTGCGACAAGGTTGTTCGAGTCCAACCGCCAAACCCGGGAGAAATCAAACAGTGGTGATTGTGCATATTCGAGATACAGTGCAAATACTTTGGAAAGACGTACAGATGACGCCTACATGTAAAAATAAATCATCGCGTTCTCAGTATCTCATCGTCCCGTATGCAAACCCGCTTCGGATCAAATACATGATAGGTAAATGGACGGGTTCGTGCTTCCCCGACGGCCTTCTAATAACCATATCCCCTCGACTCATTGTGTCTCTGGCCATATCCATACTGGCCTTCGCCGTAGCCGCTGCTGCCACCATAACGACCCTCCTCGTACTCCTGACGAGACTCACCGCCGTATCCCCCATAGCCCTCTTGGCGGTCTCCATACCGAGGCACCTCCTCCCTAGAATCCGATCAGTACTAGTTCTGCAGAGCAGCCCCTTCTTCCCACAACTGTCCAAGGTGTATTCACTTACTCATTACGTCTTCCTTCTTCATAGTACCCCCTCTGCTCGCCGCCGTAAGTTGGTCTGCTTCCATAACCGTAACCGGACTCGGAGGTTTCACGACCATACTCGCCACGCGCCGAGGGATAGCCTGAATCATAACGAGATTCGGAAGATCCACCGCCGTACTCAGTGCGGGATGCACCTTGGGATCCATAGCGGGACTCCGAGTACTCGTCCCTGGACCCAGAGCCGTACTCGGCCCGGGCGGGAGTACTCTGATATCCGTGACGAGACTCAGAGTACTCATTACTGTATCCACCACTGCTGTACTCACCACGAGCAGGGGTGCTTTGGTATTCGTAACGAGCCTCGGAGTACTGGCTACCATACTCGTCGCGGCGCTGCGAGCGAGACTCGTAAGATTCGTGACGGGAGTACTCATTGCCTCCGTCATATCCGCTTTGATATTGCTGAGCATAGCCATCTTGTCTTTCATGTTCGTGATGGTGACGGTGGCGTCTTGAGGCCTTGCGTTCATCTCCAGACTTGTCATCGTCAGAACTGTTGTGAGACTCTTCATCATCGGACTTCCGTCTGTGCCGTCGCTCATGCTTCTCATGTCTTTCGTGCTCCTCATACCGCCCAGGCCTCTCATGCCTCTCGTATGTATCGTGCTTCTCGTAGTTCTCGTGCCTCTCGTAGTTGTCGCGCCTCTCATAGTTCTCCCGTTGACCACTGTAGTCAGAACGACGCTCATGATTATCAGAAGAACGAGACTCAGAATCATTCAAGATCATTGAGCCAACTTGGCCGACAAGACCCCCAACAAGACCCCCAAGCGCACCACCACCCGCAGCCTTGGACGCGATCTTTTCGATCTTCGAAGTGTCGGGTCCACCCGTCCGACCGGAAGTGCGGGCCTGTCCTTTGTGCAGGGTGAGAGGCTTGCCGCAGCCGTGTCCACAATCCTGAACTCCCTCCTTGTGGTTCTTGCCTTCCTGGACACCCTCGCGGGAAAGCTGCTCGCGAAGGGTGTCTTGTTCATCCCTGTCCTTGTCTTCCCACCATTGCTGGACGGTACCGAACATAATCTGACGGATTTCGTCGGCACCGTCCTCGCCGCGGTCACGGAGCGCCGGATGGTGGAACACCCCGTGGACAATCCGATCCAAAGTCCGCTTGATATCCGCGTCTTCGTTGTCCCAACACTCCATCAGCTGCGGCACGACCCACTTGACGATCTGAGAAGCGACCCGACCAGCTGGTTCGTTGAGTACATTTGAAAAGTGGTCCTTTGAGAGCATCGAGTGTGTAGGGTCCGAGCAGCTATCGTTGTCGAATACGACATGTTGCTGCTCTCGACTGCTCTGGATGACTTCGGAGGAGCCCGTTTGCAGCTCAGTCTTGACTTGCTGGATAATGGGGAGGACGTAGGGCGCGATGATCGAAAATACAAACACGTTGATCTGCTCCTGAATCTGCTCAATCAGATCCGGGATGACAGGAATCTTCTCGATGGCCTCGTTGATGGATTTGATGAGGTTATCGTGCCATTCCAGGACAGGCAAAATTTGCTGGTGAACCTCGTCCAAGTAACGAGTCCATTCTTCCGGTTCACGGGGAGAGATATTCTGGTTGTGTTGCTTGGCATTTTGCGATTGAGCTTTGAAGTCATTCATTTTGTCCGCTTCCTCATCACTGCTGCTACCGATCAAGCCTTCCGGGATCTTGCTGAGCAGGTCTTGTAGGAGGCTATCAGGGGCACCGTCGTTCTCCGACTCGGAAATGACACCCTCGAGGGACTGGATTTCAGATTGAGTGGCCTTATCGGACAGCTCACCGAGGACGGAGTGGAAGAAGTCCACTCCACCAAAGGTACCGGTGACGATAGGGTAAACATCCTTCCCGTCGAGGTCAATTTTGGTGTCACGGCCGACATGAGGGAAAACTTCGGACTCTCCCAATTCGATCAGACTCAGCTCGGTGTAGTTGGAATGGGCGGCGTAGTCCTCCAGGCAATGGAGACCAGTTCCAAGAAGGCGCAGGGCTTCATGCAGATCTTCCTTATTTCCGGACCGTCCATATTCACGCCCCAACTGGATTGAACGGCGGAAGACTCGACGCACTAGAGCTGCAGATGTGGAGATTCCCAAGTTCTCGGAGGCGATGTAGTTCTTCAGACCTATTCAGCACATGGCGCGTTAGTAATGACCGGGTGGATGCACATTAGGACGGGGACCTACCGGTCCGGGGATTGATGGACAGTTCACGCTCCTCGTCTATGGGACCTCGGAGGCGACGGTCGTATTTCCGCGCGTCTTCCCCCTCGGCATAACCGAGTGGGTTGTCAATGTGCTCGGTGGGCTCATAGCATCCCAGACGCTCCGTGGTCACTTCAAACTCTTTGGTCCCGTACCTAACGGCAAGTCTTAGTGGAAGGAGTTCACGTTCGTGGAGCTGCTCAAACATACCCAAAACTCAAGAAGCCGAGAACCCAGATCAGAATGCGAATAGCCTCGGTACTGACGTACTTCAGCGTGCCAACATCCACAGCCTGACTGTAATCCCGCAGCCAATTCCCGAAGTAGACCCGCTGGACGTCCAACTTGCTGAACTTCCGACCACCGGCGACACGAGCCAAAACCAAGGTGAGAAGCGTATCTTCGATATCACCATGGCGCCAGTTCTGGCCTTCCACGCGCGAGATGGAAGCGATATTACCGGCTCCGAACGCGTGAGCCTGTCCACTGAAGGCGAACAAGGCCACGAGGAAAATGGCCCAGGACGGAATAGAGAGCCCCATTGTTGAAACTCGAGTCCTCAAGCTCGGAGAAGCTTGTGGGATTGGAAACGAGACGAAGTAAATGAGGGGAGAGGAAAGGAATAAACAAACAGTAACCAAAGGACGTGGATACAGCAAGAAGGCGTATGGAAGGAGAGTGTGAGACAAGGTCAAATAAAAGCTGAAGGAGAGAAGGGAAAAAAGCAGGAGGGGAAGGTCTTGTACTCCTTATGGGAAGCAGGGTAAACCGTGTTGCCCCGCCATGCACATCGTCTGGTGTGTGGTTGTACACCTCCATAAAGGAAGTACAGCGCCCATCCGTGGGGGGATTCGTCCTTCATCCTGGACGGTCTCGCTTGGCAGGCCTCTTAGCGCGCCTCTTGTGGTTTCGAAGCCCCTCCATCTCTTGGCGACGCCCCAGAATGGGCATGAGGGCTGAAGAGAAGGCTGATGGGCTGGGCTGATGGGCTGATGGGCTGAGATGGGCACGTTATTTGGCTGATCCTCAGTCCTAGGGAGTATTGTACGGAGTAGATGTATGAGGCGACGACTCATGGATCATTTGCGATCGCGAGACTTGGGGAAACCAACGTGAGTAGGTACAGTCCCTTCAGCTCTTCATATGGGAGGTAGTGATTCTGTCCAATTTGCCATACACTGTACGGAGTAGAGGATAACTGTCGCGAGGTGTATAGTGTACTATGTATAGTTATGCGTGGATTGACCTCGGTCTTGAGCCTCGGTCTGGGTGGGGACAGAGAGAGTGACAATGATGCTCGTGACGACGGTATCGATCATGAGGAATCAGACAATGCGACAAAGACAAAGAAAATGAAACAAACGAAACGGTTTATCAATCCTTAATATTAGAGTATTAGCATGGGAGCGATCCGATCGATCTTGCATACTCCTTATCGACCGACTGCATACGGAGTATAGGCCCGGACGGGCCTGATCGACTTCATTCTGTTGTCATCCTCTCCGATGGGCCCATGGGAAATAACTAGTCTGAATTGGCGCGAATTAGTTCCAGTCGCTTGCAATGACCAGAACATGGGCTAGACTGGCTAGACGGCTTAGTGAGTGACTAGGGACGTCGTTAGTTAATCATCATTCAATAAGAGGGAGTGAAATCCCGGCCCTCCGCATCCGTCGCGCCGGCCAACCTCCAGCCTCCCCCACCCCTCTTTCTCCTCTTCCTTCTTCTTCTTCTTCTTCTTCTTCTCCGTCCGTCTCCGCTCTCATCTTACTCTCTCTTTCATCCTCCGAGCGGGCTCCTCGGACTCTCCATATCGCTATTCTCTTTCCTGCCGTTGAAATACTCAGACATGCGTGTGATCCGGGTCTCCCGCCCTCAGTCTTTGTATGCTTTTCACCTGCATCTATAAGCCGGTCCGGATTCCTGTGCTACGCTCCCACTTGATCCCAGCACTCCAGTCAGTGTAGGAAGATTTAGGAAGGTTTCTTTATGGTTCTCTTGTAACCACGGGCTCTTTCTTTTTGATTTTGACCGACCGACTCTCTTCGTTTATCCATCGCTTCGCTGCGAGACGCAAATCTCTCAATTGTTCGATCGGCCCTCTCGAGTTAGCATCACTGCCCCTCAAACAGGCTGAAACATAGACTCCGGCGATCATGCGTTTCTCCGACGTCCATTGAAGAACGTTCCGCTGTTACCGGTGTCTGGAAAGATCCTGAAAGAGGCGGAAGGAGTATTCTTTTTCGCCTTCTTCCCCACTCTTTCCTATGGCACGCTTCAGTGATCCATTCGCTCACAATTCACCGCTACCGAGCACGCATCAGAGGGATTTTAGAGATTCCCTGTCATCCGTTCAACCTCCACATCATGATCACACTGTCCAAACTAAAGTGTCTGGTTTTGGGAATTCCGTGTCGGTCCGTAAGGATACGCCAGTGCTGGTCCACTCAACTTCCCGGTTATCCGATTCAGAAGATCGCCTTTCGTCATTAAGTGTGTCCCGAACAGCAAACGTTTCCCCAAGGAAGAGCCGGCTTTCGGGCGGTTCAAGCAAGAGCCAGACGGACTCGGTTTCAGGGGAGCAATTCAGGAAGCAGGACCTATACCAACCTGGCAGTTCGCCTCAAAAGTCCAAAGCCTCCCCAGACCCCAAGGCGCACATCATGCCTTTGCTTAGGAAAATTTCGCGGGACGCCTCGCCAACAGCCTCCCTTGACCTTTCCCGGTCATCTTTTGACCACGATGGTCTAGGAATCTACACGAAGTACGAAAAGGAAGGGCATTCAAATGACCAATTTGCCAATTATACGACTCGCAAACCTATTTCTCGGGTCCATCGCCGCTCCACGAGTGGAACGTCCCAATTCTCCACAGGAAGCGGCTCAAGCATGGGCAAACCTGGAACGCAATATGTTCATCCGATGCGGCAAGCCCCCCGTGGGTATACGCCACCTATGGGCCAATCCTACCCTGCGTCAATTTTTGAAAGCGATGACTCTGCTAAGGGAGACACCGCGGATGGCGACGTATTCGGCCCGTCTGGTTCGGTTCGCGCCGCCTCAGGTCAGACACCGCGGCTGTCATTGCAGATCCAAGACAGCTCATTCACACGGTTACCAGGGAATTCGCAAACCAATGTCACCAGTCGGTCGTCCTTTGGCTACTCACGAGACAATGGGAGCACACTGGACACGGCGTCTCCAATCTCTAGGCCGTCATTGGATTTTGTCTTCCGGTCCAAGACACGAACGAGTATGGACCCTGTATCTCGAGCCGCCACTGTGCAGGCTGCGCGCCAGGCTTTTGAAGAAAAGGAGGCCGCAAAGGCTCGAAAATTTGAGGAGCAGCAGATGAAAGCCGAGCAGAAACAAATGAAGAGAAAGGAGAAACAACAGCATTGGCGGACGTCACTCCGGGACGGTGAAGCGCCGGAATTTGCATGGGAGAAGCAGCCTCAGGAAGCACCAGACGTTCGTCCTCCCCGTGTTACGCCTGCACCACCGCCGCCGCCGCCCCAACCAAAGCCGGAAACATGGAAGTCGCAGCCCAAGAATACGTGGATGCACTTTCTCACCTGGTTACGGACCCGAATCTTCAAGCTTCGCAGAAAGGTCAAGAAGCTCGCCTGAAGCCATCCAGCCATTTCTATCCCATCATTATTATGGAGTTGCGGCGGTATGCGTTTTTGTGGTTTCTGGGTCATTCCAATCCCTGTACATAGGTTTGCGTTAGTGTAAAAATACGTGCCTCACTATCTTCTATCTACCAAAGTGGTCGAAATCGAAGCGTCTGTTTCATTCTATGGATTTAGTTTTCGACCTCAAGCTATCCACAAAGCTCATAACATACTCCGTATTCAACTGCATGCGTGGTAGAGGACGTATAATCACGTGACGTATCGGAAACAAACCCAACCAAACTGCGCACATGGGTCATCTGCGGCGCCTCATCTCCCCTTCCCTTTTTTTGCCTCCACGACACGTTCTGCTACGGTGTTCCAAATAGCTCGCCGTACCCTGCCTCTTTTCCAGACCCAACTACGGTATACAGGAGCGACAACAAGTGATTTTGCGGAGGCTACACCAGGAACGCCCCACCCGGGCTCCCTCTGGCATTATCAGATCAGACTCTCGCTGCGTTTCTTTCCAAAGGCGCTCCTCCCATATAGGAGGCGCGTCTTGGTGAACGCTTGCCAGCATGGTCTACGACTGGGATGGAAAGCGAGACATCTGCTACCAGATGTATATCCGGGATAAAAAGGCGTTGGAGGAAATCATGGAATACATGAAAAATGCATATGATTTCTCACCTAGGTGAGACTACCTCCCGTTCCTCATCGAATTGAACTCCCGGTCCGGTGTATACCAATGTATAGTTAACTAACCGGTGGTGGACCGATAGTAAGCGCGCGTTTCAGACGCAATTCAAACGATGGGGCTTTCCCTCCAAACAGAACCCAGCGCATAAGAACATGGCGCTCGTCGCCCGTGTCAAGCAGCTCTGGGAGAAGAATACCAGCCAGCGCGACATGTTGCGCATCTTAAACGACGAAGGGTTCGAGATCAAAGAGCGAGAACTAATGCGCGTGCGCGCCAAAAACCGCTGGCTCCTCCGAGTCCCCAACGGCATGAAAGCCCAGTCGACCTTGCAGAGCCCCGTACCGCTACCCGACGACGAAGGACTGCTGGCTTTGCAGCAAGAAGTCTATAAAAACACCGATGGTCCCTTCGATACATCCTCCGAGCCGCTCCCAGCGGACACCGCAACCTCACACCCCCCATCTCCCGGCCTGTCCGCCGAGGTCATCGCCAAGCGCAAAGAGCGTCTGGAGCGACTGAAAGCCGAGAGCGCAGAACGTTGGGCGACCCGAAAACGCCGTCGCAGGACTCGTGGCTGGGCCGGATTGCCTGCGGATCCTCCGGGCCCTCCACGGTTCCCTTCTGAGACGACTATCGATGAGAGTAAAAAGTACCTGAACCTAGACAATGCGATGTACCGGGAGATCAGAGACCAGTTCCAACGCATCTGTGAGGAGGCGGGGTTCATCAAGAAGACCGTCGCCGGCCCGGAGAGATGGCAAGAAGCCAAGAATAAGCTAATCCAGGGATCGCATCACCTCCAGCAAGTGTTCTGGGACGACCCTAACCAGTTAGATGCGAAGACGCTCGCGCTTGACGTGGTGTGTACGGACGTCACGAAACGAATGAGAACCCTGGAGAGGAGAATGACCATTGCGGAGGCCAAAAATGCCCTTGGCATCAACCCGGAAGAGAGCCGCCAGATTCGAAACGCCTTCTACAACACTTTAAAGGCAGACCATTTCACCAGTAAGCTAGAGGCTGGAGATGAGCATTGGAAAGAACTCAAGGAGCGATGGATCAAAGAATCAGAGATACTCCAGCGGATCCTTCCCTCTGATCCAGCAGATGCGGAGCACTCCACAAAACACAAGGCGCTTGAAGTCCTATGTCGCGATGTCATGAAACGGCTTCGCGACGATCAGTCGAAGAGGGACACTACTCGTAAACTATCAGCTTCTCGGCTTCAGGCTCACAGTCCCGACTCGGGCAGCTCTCACGAGAGCGCCAATTTCAGCAGTGGAATCACTAATGGAATCAGCACGCTCGCTTCTCAGGCCCTTGCGAGTGCACCCGTGGCATCCGGCGATCTAGGTGACATACAAATAGACCCATCACTCCTGCAAGCTGCCAATGATACCTCCTTTGCCACAGCAGACCAGCATGATTCGGGAAACGCCTTTGAATATGCGGATCCCATCCTCGACTCCGCGTTCCACCCCATCGTCCATCTGCGGATCCATCCCGACAGCCCGTTGCACAGCGATTGCAAGCCTTGGGTTGAAAAATTAACGGAGAAAACAATCGGCATATTACGACACCTGGTCAACGCGAAATTCCCGGACTCCTTTGTTACAAAAGTTGAGGCCATTGACAGAGATATGGATGGCAATGAGATCCCGTTCATAATCGATGAAGACCACGAACTTGATACTTATTTGACTCACGTACAAGGGCGCAAAGCGATCTTTTCAGTCTATCTGGGTTCTATTTGATTGTCCCGATGCCGGTCTGAATCAGATGTCCAGTTCGACAAGTTCTGTACGGTACAGAAGGGGACTTGTCCTTGTTCGAATATATTGCATTAAATACCCCATATGAACACTATGCTGTTTAATTCCACTGCCTTCAATTTATCTCGATACTATAGAAAACACACAATACTCAGTTCTACATCCATATCCACTTGGTACTTAGACAACCGGATTCATGCACTCTTGTGATTGCCCCCAAAGCAGAAGGTTCTGAAGGTACTTCCGGACAGTGTACTAGGTGCATTCTTCCCAACCGTGCTCTAGGGTGTCTTTTCCCGGGCGTAACGGGAAGCAGAGTGATAAGCTATGGGTTTCTTTCTAGGCCAGGGGTTGGTTTGACATTGAACCTGTCGCAGTTGGGCTGATTACTTGGTAGAGCTTCCATGTCGCATCTATACGCGCTCAATAGCCGCATTGCCTGTACTTGTGTCCATAAAGGAGGAACAAGAATATACAATTTATCAAGGTAAGTTCTACACCGTGGTGTGGCGGTTACAGCGCCCCTCAGATATGAAATCCTCCTGATGGAAATTAAAACACTGCTTCGTCTTATTCTGTACATGATTATCACTAGCCTGACAGCACCTTCACCACATCCCGGAAAAGAATACTGGTGGGAGGTGCAACGAAAGGCGCCTCACGGAAAACACTCGCAAGTTGGCCAGAGGCTGACGTGTCCACCGCAGACGTAGAAACAGGTGCCAATGAGTTTTTATGCCAGTCAGCGCGGGATTGTCCCCCGAACAGGCTGGTCAGTCCGGAATCTAGCCGGGAGGCTAGCTCTTGGGGTTGAGTAATATGAGACACCCTCTGCTGGCATCCAAGCCTCAGCACGTTGGCTCCCGCATCAACAACAACATAATCTCCCGAGTGCGGGCTTGAAAGCAACGCAAGCGGAGGTTGTGATAGTTTGTGCTGAAATAGCTGCGACAGCGAGTCGATGTCATACACTCGCACTTGGAACTGAGATTTGGACGAGCGACTGTGGGAATACTGAGATGCAACGGCAAATGTCTTCGTCCTGCTGTCTACAGCAAGCAGCTGGGGTCTGTTGACGGATGCGGTATCTTCTGCCCCCAAGGCACTCGTCCTCACAAGGTCGCCAACCGTGTCCCATATCGACACTGAGTTCTGCGAGGCGATAACAAGTTGGCTCCCCAGGAACTTTGTTCCACAGAGTCGGCCTGGGTATACACCAGCCCTACTGCAGCGGATGGTACAGTTTTGAACGTCGACGATGATGGCAAGCCCCAGGTTCCCTGAAGCCACTGTTTCCAGGCAAAGGGCGAGCGCCGATCCATCCTCGGAATAGGTTAAGGATGCGGTGCTGACACTTGACCCTTCAGTCCCGATGTAGCCACTCAAGTCAATAGTATTTCGACACTTCCAGGATTCCAATGGCTCTGTGTGATGCTCTTGTTTAAGACCGCTCCGCTGTCTCGTGGTAGGGCACCAGAGGCGCAGAACCGCATCCGATCCAACTGTCGCGAATTCATGGGTATGGGGCCGAGATGCAAGGTCTAGGACCGATGCAGGGCCCAAGTTGGTGAAATGAGGCCCGTCTATGCGCGCGACTAACTCCCAGGCTTTAGTCGCATTGCTCCACTTCCAAAACTTCAAGAATACCTCGGCGGCGTATTGGTCTGAACCGTCGGTGCTGAGATCAAGTACGCTGATGTCTTGCTGGTGAGGACTCCATGTGTCTACCGTAGCCATCCATTTTCCATCGTGTGCCACATCCAAAAGAGTAACGTCGGGGGTATCGATTCTGGAACCTTCAGGGCCGACATTCAGAGTTGTTGCATTGGTGCGCGTAAGTGCTTGACGGGAAACATGGCTGTCTGTGCGGATATCGTAAGTCTGTAGCACGCAGAAGTCTGCCGATGAAAGGCCTTCTGGAGAAAGTTGTTGGCGGACGGGCACAGGCACCAAGAGATGGTCTGGGTATTGTGGATGCAACACAGCCGGAGATGCAGCTGATGGCCGAGCCTTTGACGCATGAAGTTTGGCGTTAAGGGTCTTGGGACATAGCTGCAGGCCTGTTATTGTCGCAAAAGGCTGCAGTTCTCTCGCGGACAACAGCACCAGACTGTTATCAGCCAATTTGACTAGGTAGGCACTACCGGTCTCGGACACCACGATGTTGCAGATTTGCGCTGAAAGGTGGGGAAGAAATTGCTTTCTGCCCGTATCCAGCTGCCATAATACCATTACTGTCTCAAGGCCACCGGATATGACATAATTTCCTAGATAACAGCAATGTCAGATGTGTCTGTCGCCCACTCCCGCTTCAGAAATTACTTACCATCGCGTGACCAGCGCACAGCGCTTACAGGATCTCGGTGCCAGTGCAGCCGCCTTGGGCTTAGGTTTTTCTTGCCCTCGGTGCCATTTTCGGCCGCGAAGACGCTCAAAACATCGTAATAGATCAACATAGAGCCGTTTGGTTCGCCCAGAACGATATCAATGGTCTCTCGGGGCCTAGCTGTATGCTGGCCTCGGCCACCAGCCTGAGACGGCTCAGAGGTGCATCGTATGTCGAGACAAGTGATGTTGACAGGTAATGCCATCTCTCTCCAACTATACTGCACCCCACCTGTAGTAGAGCTGGTAGTACCAAGTAGAATGTAGTTGCCACCGTAGGCAACAATGACCCTACTACTCCCTGGACACCTCACGTGTTCAACTGGAAGCTTCGTCTCAAGGATCACAGTGCTATCAGGACGCTTCCCCTCGAGGTGGGTAATCAACACTTCCTTCATCCCATCCGGACGACGCCGCAGGGATAGAACAGCGGGCGTTCCGCCAGTTTCGGGTTCGTGCGAGCAAAATTGAGCCGTGACTGTATTGTTGCCGATCTCCCAATGCGCCACCTGCGTTGCAGTCGTCCAATTCCATTCCCTCACAGTTCCATCCGATGTGAAAATGTAGAGATGTTCCTGGATTGTCGGGTGTAGGTTGTATCCAACGACTTTGCGATTTTTGCCCCATTTCAAAGATCGGAAGAGGCGTGATGTAGCAGCTGAGTATACATTGACTCCAGAATCGACGCCAACAAAGATATATCTAATGTGAAGGGACTAATCAGAACCATCTGAGAAATTAGAGGATCCAGTATCAAACTTACTCGTCACCCGGACTCAATAGCGGATCGATGTTTCTGAACCTTCCCGCAATGGAGGTAGATAAAGACCAAGGCTCAGGTGATACGGCGTTCTCTTCTCCATCAGCTTTGGCCAGACGGTGCTGGTCTGAACCCGTCTTCTTGACTGCCTGTGTCTCTAGATTCTCCCCGTCCCCAGAAGTGCGACGTCGCTTGGCCGGCATCTTCTTCTCTTCAATCGCGTCACTTTTTCGTGATCGTTTTGAATGCTGGTTTGAAGGGTCGGAGCCTGGCATATTTATCCAATTAACCGACTAAGTGGTGAAGATGCGGTATCCGATGACTTGAAATGGAGGAGATACCAGGTCGTTTAGCACATGTTGGGCTCGCTTTCACAATGAGAGGCACGGCGAAGTTGGAGGCCGACAAAAAATGAAGCGAATAGTTTCTCATGTTCCGCCTTTTTTTTTTTTTTAATTTTCTCCGTTCTGGCAGAAAATCCTTGCGCTAGGTCTTATCAGGATAATCTAGCTTGATCGGGAATGCGATGGGTCTTCTTTCGTCCAATGACGGCCATGCACGGGCATTCCCGAATCAATTGTCGCGGTTTTATCCAACCTGACCGCCCGCCGTCATTTCATGATCCCGACAGAACCTGCGCAGCATCACCTTCAGATCTTCAAAGCCAGGTGGGATCACCGCGAGCCTTTCCGATTTCATTTCAAGCCGAGTGAAGGTTGTTCTTCGAAGAAAGATGATTATCCCTGTCCGGTGTTTCTCTTGTGGAAAGGTAGGCGGGCAGACTTTTGCGTCGCTGTCTTTGGCGTCGCTGTCTTTGTCCTGCTAACATGTCTTCTGAGTAGGTTGTTGGAGATCTGTGGGAGCGTTACCTCCAGCTGCTTGATGAGGGTATCGCAGATGGGTATGTTCCGGACCCTTTGACCATCTTTCACCATCTATTGAGCTCTTTCTAAATACTGAGAAGGGACGCCATGGACCAACTTGGATGCAAGCGTTACTGCTGCCGACGAATGATCATGACTCACGTTGATCTTATTGAAAAGCTGCTCCGGTAAGTGGATTCCGTGCGCTTGCTTGCAGCACGTCGCTCAACTAAGAAACTTCTCAGGTATAACCCCACGGAGCGTGACCGCGCGAGGTCTCAGATATAATCGTCCTTGCGGAAAGATTTCCTTCATAGCTCTCTGATAATAGCACTCGGCCGTCTTCATCTCCTCGAATACCTCTTGATCACCACGAAGCCGAATTTCCATGACGACTGACGGGATATGAAAGACCCACAGCACTACGGGATCCCTTGCGATCTCTTCTGCGTGACGTCCGTGAAGCCTCCGGTAATCAGCAGAAACTGTCTACCGTTATTCGCTATTGCTACATGAATTTGGTTCATCGATTGAGAGGGAAGAAGACAACAAAGGGCTGGTCTTGAAAGGGGCGTTGCGTCATATCCAAAAATCTTGGTCTATACAGGAAGCGATTCCTTGTCTTTAGTATGCAGTTCCGGGAATAGGCGTTTCGGGGCAGGTTACGATTACTATTCTGGGCCTCCAGGTCCAATTTCTCATCGACTTTTCTCTTCCCTTTTCTCGACTGATTGTGTGATATATCTGGTTCTAGAAAGGTGGAGTCGACAACTGCACGGTGAGCGGTAAAGTGGAGGTAAAGAATAGTCAGATATACAACTAATGGGTACAAGCCACACACCCTGTAACTCGTAGACTTTTCGTAGACCAGTCACTCACGAAGAAAAAAGGGTATCAGCGGGCTAGGAGACTATCTCCAACCAATCTGTACCCTCTGAAGAGAGAAAAAGCGGAAAAGGGCAAGCAAGGATCGATGATGCCGCGGACAAACAATGTACGTACTCCGACATGGTCATCAGTACTCGTAGGAGAACCTTCCTTTGTAGTTTAGGATAACGAGACCCAGCCCTCGAACACCGGGGAGCCAATTGAAACCGCGACTCCCGAGGAGCTGCATGCGTTGTCACATCATGGGCGCTTAAGAGCATGTAGCCGAGGCAGCATAGGTGGATTTCATCGCAGCTCCGCCAATCAACATTGCATCAACCTGAGCTACGAGGAGCAATAGCAATAATTCATGTACTAAGGTAGGTAGTTCACCCACCACCAATGCACGAGTCTAAACTAAGCTCGGTATCTAAGGTCCCAGCTATCGCTTGTGTTCATGCCAAACCAACAACAACAATCCAACATATAGATATCCTATCTGTTGAAAGGCTTCGGTTGACTCTCGCGGACAGACAACAACAGTTGGGATTATCGATTTACAACAGGTACTTGTGCATTTGCTTTGTTTAATTTGCTGCATCCGGGTTACACCCCGAGTTCAGCCAGGATTAGCTTGCGGTCTGTCGAGCGGGGTTCTCCTTGGCCCCTTAAAGGTCGCCTACCCATCCACGGCTGTCAGCTGCACTGTCCTCTCTTTGCACATGACTATAAACATGGGATAACATGCCATTGTTCTCGTCTGTATCCTTTCCAACATGAGAATCGGGGCATCCAAGTCGCATTGCCCTGTATCATGTAAGGACCTGGAATTTGGCTCATTCAAACGTATATGAACCATGCTGATCAGCCCAGGTCGGTCAATAATGCTCCCTCCGATGTAGGGTCTTTACAAGACTCCGACCTCCGCGCGCCAGAACTGTTCCCCAATGGGTCCAGTGCTCAAGCCCAGTACACCTCAAGTGAACCGCAAAATGGTCCAGAAACCTCGTCAGAACTCCAGTCTAGAAATGCTGCGCATCCCAGCCTTGTGGTATGTATCAAAAGTAAAGCATTGGACCCAGGCTGTGTCCAAGGGTCATAGAGCTCGCTTCAGTCGACTGACATAACGTAGGTCAATTCCACCATGGCTACTTATACTACCTCAGGCGTGAATTCCATCGAAGACGAGGAGCCACCACAATCCGTCATACATGCACCTTCAGGTTTCGGTGACTTTGTGGGTATTCCCTAGCGTGCGATACAAAATGTACCTACTCGCTTACAGGTGAAGAAGGCAGACAATGTAACTACCAGTAGACCTGCGTCTCAACCAGGTAGCCGCCCTCTTTCAGGCAGCATCACTACTTTAGAGACGCCTCATGAAGATAACCAAAAGGTCTGCAGCACGTCAAACACTGCTCGCTCACCTGCTGATGGCATTGAAGAAATTCTCCAGCAGTCCGCTGTCACCACCCCCGTTGACCACAACAATCGAACCCGTATTAGACTGGGCTGAGAGGGCAACTCCTCGTGCTCAAACAATGGAAGAATTTGGGAAGACTGTGGTCACCTCCCATCCAACAGATGGTACGCTCCCCAGTCGAATTAATTGATCAGTGGATATGGCACTAACGTCTACTGGGCCTGTCAGACTGGGATCGTCATGATAGAACTCCTCCGGCCCACAGTGATGCCTTATCTACAGGAAGGGTGGCGCCGGAGATGTTTTCTGATGCAGAAATCGAGATCAAAGCACTGAGGGCTGCTCTTGCCGAATGTTGGTCGTTGTGCAACACTTTGGCCGGGTTGAGCTATATACATAGGACCCGGTCGAATCGACAGTCTGATGCGGAAGAAAAAACCTGGCAATCCTGTTGGCGACTGTGTCAGGAATTATACAACAGCCAGGACCTCGACTATGACTTGCAGATCAACCCCACCTTGGATCTCTGCCGGAAATTCTGCCAGACCCTATTCGATTCCAGAAGTCGTGATAACGAACTTGCAGACTCCATTCTCCGCGTTAGCTTCGAACTCAACAATCATCTATACAACACCCACGATCGAACACTCCCCGGTGCCTTCAGAGAGCGGACGCTGGACTTTTACATTACTCTATGTCACCGTTTGATGAAGCAGAGGAGCCAGACATCAGAGTCAAACACGCTGCTAAGTGCGTGCTGGTCGTTGGCCGAAATGCTATTCAGCATACGTCAAAGTAAGAAGGAAAAGAGGGGGCTAGACGAAGAACTACTCGGCTCGGCCGTGCAGGCTTGCTGGGAACTCTGTGATATCTTCCGCGAAGGGTGGACCCGCCATCGACTGGTCGAGTCTATTGCTACACCAAGGCATATCGAGAACCTGCGAGATTCTGATCGAGGAACACCTCGGCCTAGTCAGATGGCGTCCGGCCAAGCTGCCCAGCATTCTTTACTGCCCAGCCATGAGCCTGGTAATGGGGTAATGGTCACCAGAGGAAATCCCGAAACGCCGACGACCATATTCGAAGAAGCCGCCACTGTTTCGCCCGACGATGCTCCGATCCAGAACATATTTGTCTTGGGACAGGGTCCCCCTCAAACCTCACGTCACAAATGGTCATCTAATACGTCAAGTATCTCAGCACACACCCGATCTTCAGAGCAGACATCATCGACAAAGACGATAACGACATTCCGGAATGATCTGGATTTGGTATGTATTGAGGTTCTAGTTATGAAGGCCGCAATAGACAGCGGATTCCAACGTAACGGCCCACAAAGTTTGTCATCGTTTGTTAAATCACTCTCTTCGGATGCGTTCGGTCCAATGTCCTGGCAGACTTCCCTGCTCAAAAACTATAAGAACTTTGTGGCGGCCGATCCCGGGATTCGCAATATAGGGAATGGGACCCAGGCGAGCGCCGTTGATATAGCAAAGGCGGTCCAAGAAATGGTCCAAGGTGGCAGCCATCTTTGGTTACAGGATCTTTACCGACTTGTTTTTGGGTTCCATACTGAGGAGGCGATGGGGCGAGATATAATGCTTCGTGTGTAGGTAGAGCAAGTGGTCTCTGTAGACTGATCATAGGAGCAGCTGGCATAGCCATTCCACCACGGAATGTTTCCAGCTTTGTTGCCAGACTTTCCTCTTTCCTTCCGCAGTGATGATGGTCTTGCATTGAATCCGCCCCCATGTCTGGAGGCATACCACACTATGATGCAGACTTGGTGCGTTGCATCATGCATTTGCTACTCCTTTCCACCCAAGAAGTTCCATTGAGTACGGCGAAGGTCATTCTTTTTGGCATGGATCCTGGGATCTCCGTGGCCAGTTCTTACCTCGCGAAGGCGCAAATGTGCAATGACTTTCTAACCTGAACAACTTCGGAGGATGGTCCACTTCCTTCACTGTCGACTGCGGGGATTAGTGGGAAGCCAGTGAACAGAATACGTTCTGTCTTACGCAATCGACTCCCAACTATATGACCGCTCAATCACCTGTAGAGCTCTTTGATGGGCGTGTCGGTGAGAAATCTCCGTGGTGGACCCTGGCATGCGTCGTAGAAAGCTACATATTCAATCTATCCCAACAGAATGGGAGCTTCGCTCACCGCGACTGGTGAGTATCAAAGGGGCGATTTCTCCTACTGCTTCCTGGTTCGGCGCAATCCAATGCATATTCATAGAGTGTATCCATTTGAAAAGCAGTGTCTCCTCTAAATTAGGTCAATCTAGTATTGTTGGTTCACACGGTATCGCGATAGGGTTGGCCTGCGAGTCGGCGCTCAGGCGCGCAGCATCGCGAATAGTGGCAACTTTGCCGACCAAATAGTATTATCTAGCCCTAATGATCAACAGGCGTGTTACATGCCAAGGGTATCGGTTTGGGGGCCATAATGGTATATCCACCTCGGACATGCCCGCGGGTGGGCAGTATACTCGTTTACTCCGGAGTGGATATTCCACTTGACTACGCTTGACTACATAATAGACGGTCCACTTCGTTGGGATCGCCTCCTCATTTCCTGGTTAAGCTACATTGCCAAGGGTATGGGCTTGGGGGCCATGATGGCATATCCATCTAAGGCTCTGCCTCAGTTAGGTAGAAGTCTGCCTCGTTTCATGGTATTGTGGAGGTATAAAGAGCCTCGATGTGTCCGTCCTGTCTCTTCTCGAGTCCACAGTCATATCGAGTTTCAAGGTCGGTCAACAAGAACATATCCTCATTCATATATATCATCTACTCGACACAATCACCGCGCTATCAAAATGAAGTTCAATCTCGGAGTCGGGTTCCTCCTCTTTGTCACTGGCACCTTTGCGGATATGGGTACGTTCTCTCCGTCATCAATCTAGTCCTCCTGGCATATGTCGCTAATGGGACACACAGTGCCCGGAGACTACACGTGCTGGAACGGCAAATGTGCTGGCAAATGCGACCCGATAGATGGCGGGAGGGATGGAACTGTCACCGACACCATCATCCATCATGGTGATAACTGGTGTTACCTTCAAGCGGGCCGCGATGAAAACATGTTGAACGAGCCTAGGAAGTGCTCGCCTGCTTTGGGGTGTGCTCCCCCTCAGGAAGGCCATGTTTTATGTGTGACCAAGGATTACGACGAAGGTCTTGGTGGATGCACAAGCGAGAACTCCTAATGAGTCTATACTTGCTCTGATCCTCACATAGCGACTTGGGCAATCACGGGGGCGGATTTGATACAAGCGAAACCACTTTCGAGGATTAGGGCGGTCAGAACCATCCATTCAAATAGGATTCCAGTCGACGTTAATCAGATGTTGCTGTACCATATCTCCTATGTACTTAGCCAGGCTGACAGCCTTTGTCACAAATAACTGCCCCGACAGGAATTTAGAGTTAGCAAAAGAGCTACATCATGCTTGGGGCATGGAAGCGCTCAGCGATCCTGGCCCTGGTATCAGGTGCTACCGCGCTTGGCCTCGCCTTCACTCTCTAAGCAGGCGTGTAGTATGACCATCACTAGCCCCAGTTAATTTGAAGAGTGCAAGAAGCATACCTTGGGCACAGATGATAGAGAAAACACTTTGATACTTATCGAGGAGACAAGCCAGTGCGTGGGATGATGGGAGAGAGCTCGCAATGCCACTAGAGCAGTTCCTACTCACTGAGATATTCTTCACTCAGCCTCTCCAGATCACTGGAAGACATCAATACACCGATAATCTTAGCGAGGGCACCAGATATTGCGATGCAGGGTGCAGGGTGCTCACACTCTGCCCCTTGCTATTCTTTAGAAAACTTCTAAGTACTGCGTAGGCTGTTTTATTATTATCTAAATTATTTTTACTAGATATTTAATATAATATTTAAATAAATTAATAAGCATATTTATTTATAAATAAAAATAATATTTAGAAATTATAGTTAGCTAGAAGAGTACAATAAATTAATAATAATTTATTTAAAAAATTAATATTTTTAGCGTAGATTATATAGTTTAGAGTAGTTTATAAAGTTATTATTGTATTAGTAATAATTTCTTTTAGAGTTTTACTATTAGATTTTCTTATATTTAGCAGTACCTTTATAAAATAGTGACTTATTGAATATTTCTATGTTTTTTTAGATCTGTAGCAGGCTTCTAAAAGTTCTTTTAAAGAAGTTTTTAGACTATTTAACTAGATATTTAGTCTTACTACTATTTTTATTCTGTTTTTTCGTCTAGAATATAGTTTATAATCTATTTTTTTTCTATTAATAAGGATAGAAGACAATCTAACTACTACTTTTTATTAGTAGTATAGCTTAAACAGTAAAATATAGAAAATAGGATATAAGCAGCAGTAATATAGTAAAAACTAAATTATAGAATTAGAAGCTTTAGAAATTAATAATAGAGAAAAATTCTAGACAATAATAATTTAGTTTAATATTTAGCTATATAGTAGAGATATTTTTTATCTTTAAGAAAAACTAATCAGCTAATTGTAAAATATTTTTTTATATTTTTTATGTTTTTTATTATATTAAAGAATTATTATTTTTAACTTTTTTAGTATATTTTTAATAGTCTCTTTAGTTTATTAAAGTAATTATATTTTATTCTCTATTTTTAGAGCAGTATTTTTCAGTTAAGAAAGCTTGGTATTTATTTATAGATTTAATAGAATTTTTATTAAAGACTTTATTTATTAGGGCTTTTTTAATAGTAGAATGTGTCAGACAGTAGGGGTGCCTGCCTCAGGCAGCTATTTAGTCAGCAGATTCAGGCACCTATTTCAGGCAGCCATTATTGCTTAGGCAACTACCAGATTGATTCTATTGATTTCCATTGTTTTAATCTACATTGTTCTGATCTATTCTTTCTAATTCTATTACATTATCTACTTACGTTATCTACTTATATTATCTTCTAGTATTTCTACATTATTTCTAATTTTAATTATTAATTGCCTGTTTCTAGAAGACTCTAGGCTTTTAGAACCATACTATAAATAGGGCCTACTAATTCATGGTTCCGGGCTAGAGTTAACTAGAGTTATTTACTAGATTTAATTAGTTATCTAGTTCAATTGTCAATTTCCTCAACTCTCATTGGTTCACCTAGTCAGGTTAATAGGGGACTTCCCGATTAGGAAACCCTAGAGTGCCTAAGGCTCCTAGAGCTCGATATCTATTAAACAATATCTAATAATTCTAAAAAATATTTTATAATTTAGGCTTGTCTAATAGTTAAATATAATTAAGATTTTACTAGTTATAGAGAATTATAAAAAAACTATATATAAATCTTATCTAATAATTTAATTAATTTTTTAATTTGCCTCTGATTTAGATTATATAATTTATAGAATATTCCTGTCTTTTTAGCCTTTATTACAGAGAGAATATTTATATAAAATTTAGATATATAGATATAGTTTTTTAGTTTAAAGATAGTCTACTTTCTATAGTAATCTAACAGCTTTATTAGAACTATTTTAAAATCTAGAATTTCTGTATAGATATCGCTGTCAAACCCTGGGATCCGCCTAAGCTGCGCAACCTGCTAGTGTTATAGTTCAAGCACGAGGGTGACTAGATTCCCCTAGTCCAAAGAGTAATTAATACTTATCCTAGAAGAGCAACAACTCCGATAAATAGCAAAAAAAGATTCCTAAGAACTAATATAATAATTCTAAGATCTAAAGCAGTAAAAATAGGAAATAAGGCTAAAAGGATATATATATCTACTTATAATAAAAATATAAATAAACTATATTAGCAGTAATAACAATATAATTATTAATAATAATATTATTAAACGCGAAAAATTAAATAAGAACTATCTAAGTATATAGTAATAAGTATTTTTATATTTTTTAAATTTAATAATATAATATATTACTAATATATTTAGTAGTAGCTAGGTAATATACGATGGTGGATAGCTATATTATTAGTGCGATTTTCTATATACTATAAACTCTAATTAATAGATATATCGTTTTAGGTAATTAAGTCCGTAGAGATATGTATATGCTTAATTTCTTTATATTATTTCCTAATCCGGTTTAGCGCTTAGACTATAATTACTAAATTGCGGGCTAAATAACAGGTAAGTTGTAGGTATCTCTTTGTTGTAGGGTTCAGTTAGTTATCGCTGTCCGGTGGTTCTGCCTGGTATGGCCGCCCTTAACTAGTTGATTGACAAGGGTGCCGTAACAATCGCCTATTAAGATTTTTAATTCTTTAGAAGTATAGTTTTTAAAGGCTAATAAATTATTATTGTCAGACAGTAGGGGTGTCTGCCTCAGACAGCCATTTAGTCAGCATATTCATGCACCTATGTCAGGCAACTATTATTGCCTAGGCAACCCTTAGATTAATTCTATTAATTTTCATTATTTTAATCTGCATTATTCTAATATATCTTTTCTAGTTCTATTACGTTATTTGCTTACGTTATCTTCTAGTATTTCTATATTATTTCTAGTTATAATTATTAATCGTCTGCTTTTAAAAGACTCTAGACTTTTAAGACTATACTATAATAAAGTCTACTAACCTATGTTTCTGGGCTAAAGTTAACTAGAGTTATTTATTAGATTTAATTAGTTATCTAGTTTAATTATTAATTTCTTTAACTTTTATTAGTTTGTTTAGTTGGATTTATAGAGATTTCCTAATTAGGAAACTCTAAAATATTTAGAATATTTAAAATATTTAAAATACCTTAGACTTCTAAAGTTTTACAGTTATAAGCCCGGTTTACTACTATCTAATCTAACCGACTTTATTGATCTATTTTAACTATTTCAATTAGTCCGATCTATTTAACCGATTTAACCGACTTAATTAATTTAATCTGTTTAATCTGTTTATTTAGCCGATTTAACTGATCTAATTAGACTAATTTAACCGACCTAACTATTTAATCTAATTCTAACAATTTCTACTAATTTCTATTAGCTAATCTAATTTAATCTAATTATTAATTTCTATTAATTTTAATTAATATTATTGACTAAATTTAACTATTTTAGAAGGCCCTAATAGCTCTAGAATTTTTCATTAAAAATAACTAACCGAATTTTTATCTATTCTATTAGTTTTATTTAGTTAGTTTCTCTAGTTCTAATTAATTAAAATCTTTACTCTAAATAAAGGAATATAAAGCTATATTAATTTTAATTAGTTAGAAAAGCTTATTCTGC